TATTTGTACCCAATCTTTCGTTAGTCATTCTCATTCCTGTTTACTTGTTTCACATGCTGTTCTGCAGAGTCCTGTTCATTCTTTCTGCTACACCTTGCTGCTGATGGGCGTAGGGAAGAGAGAGGAGCTCCTTGATTCCCCTTTCCGCCAGGTACTGCATGAATCGCTGAGAAGTGTATTCTCCTCCTCGGTCTGACTGGAAGCTTTTCAGTTGTACGCCCGACTCTCTCTCTACTACTGGTAGCCAGGCAGCGAAGGCTGCGAGTGCCATTTTGCGGCTAGGTAGGTTTAGGTGCCACACGTAACGGGTGGCGGCGTCGATGAAGGTGATCGTGTAGTTGTATGTGACTTGTCCTGGTTCCCGATTGAACAGGATATCGCAGTACACCTTCTCGAGTGGTGTGTACGCGGGTGCGCTCGGGTTGTGATGAGGAGTGAACGGCCGATGTGGTAAGTCGCCTTCAGGGCAGGTGAAGCACGTTCCTCGTGCTCGTTGAAGTTCTCTGCCGTCGAGTAGTAGTAATGAGTCCTTGTCAAGAACTCCTGCTCTTATGGTGTTGTTTAACACAATGTTGCTTGGGTGTCCCATGCGTGCGTGCCAGATGTCTTCGGAGGCGCGGTGTCCGGGTGAGCGTCGATATGCGTCGGAGTTGGAGTAGAAGCTGGCGGTGAGGTTTGTACTTCTATGGACTTCCCGTTGAGTTGGATTCAGCTGTTGTGCGGGTGTTGGTGGTGCTTCTTCAACGAGGACTGGTGTCGTTGTTCCTGCTACTGCCGATGATGTCTCTACTGCTGCCGATGTTGTCACTGCTGCTGCCGATGATGTCTCTGCTGCTGCCGATGTTGTCACTGCTGCTGCCGATGTTGTCTTTGCTGCTGCCGATGTTGTCACTTCTGCCGCCGAATGTTGTATTGTTACTAACGCACGTGTTCGTTCTGCTTCAGGAATGGTATGTGAATACCAAAAGCCTTCCGGACTGAAGTCGGGGTCGAGATCCGGCGGGTGCGTCCAAGATGTGAAGGTGACGATCCCGTCACTGTCTGCGGTGCCCAGGTCTGGGACAAAATCTAGGACGAAGACATTGTTCTTCAGGACCGCCTTTCCAATGTAGAGGCCGCCCTTCCGAAGGTACAGCTTGAACTCCTGGGTGGTACTGTCGGCTTCCAGATGTATGCCTTTCGCCGTCAACTGACTGACGCTCAGTAAGTTGTAGCCAAGTCCTTCTGCTATTAGGACTTTGGACATTTGCAGTATGACATTCGTCTCTCGTGACTGAAGTTGGACTACTCCTTGTCGTCGTGTGCGCAGGTTCTGATTGTTGGCGATAGTGATGACGACTTCTCATTGAAGTTGGTGCTCGCGTTGAACGAAACGTCCTGAAGAGCACATATGTTGTCCGCAGCAACTGTCCAAGAACCATGTATCCTTCCCGGACGGCTCGCTTTGGGCGATGGCAGCGTACGTAGGGTTTGGTTGAAGTGACTCGCGGCGAGGCGTGCTGTTGTCGAGTTGTTCTTCTGGTGAGTAATATGGTGGTGACTCAGTTACGCAGGAGTCACTCAGCCTTGCCATGCAGCTGACGATGTTTCTTATTCCTTTCGCAGGTTGTCCCGTTGATGTTGTTGAGACGTGTACTGAAGTTGTCGTATTTGCTTGCGTTGAGGCGACTTGACTGCTTAAAGGGCGAAGTTGGCGTTGTCGATTTGGGCAGTGTGTACGAGGATGCCCTGAAGTCTTCCAGAGGTGGCAGAACAGAGGTATGATTTTCGGTCAATTGTTGTTGTTGTTGTTGTAGCGCCATTGAGTGTGAAACGCGAATTCAGACACTAACACCTTTCTCTTGTGTTGTTCTTCTTGCAGGTCCATGTCTTGCTGTTCGGCGTAGATTTCGGTGCAAAGTGCTGCTTCAGAGATTTTCCCGTGGGCTCGTCGTATGGCGCGAGTGGAGCGCTGGTGAGGACCAAGACCGCCGATGACAACCGTGACGAAGGCGTCCTCTGAAATCGATCCTCCACATCGAAGAAGCTTGTCGCGCAGCTCGCGGCAGCGACTGATATACACCATTCCCTTCTCGCCTGGTTTCATTTCAATTGTAGTTAGCTGCGCCATTAACTGACTTTGTTTTACGCTGTCTGTTGCTTGATACAGGCTCTTCAAGTGATTGTACGCGAGCTCCGCGGAGTTGCCGTAGCCTCGGTAAAACCGTATGTTTTGTTGTTGAGTTGGAGTGATGTTCCTCAGTAGTATCGTGTACGCCATCATTGATTGATAGGTGTACTGCTGCTTCTCATACTGTGTGCCGTTTGTTGGGTATGGCAGGGACCCGGCGAAGAAGCCAAGGATTTGCGCTCCTTCCATCATCAGCTCGAATTCAAATGACAAGGTGAAGAAATCCTTCCCGTCGAAGGGTTTTGTCATTTGCAGTTTTAGAGCGTGCGCGAACTACGACTGGACTTGTAGTGCGTCCAACGTTCTCTCTTGTCCCGGTGCAGGTTGTGGTTGTGGCATGAAGCTGACGGAGCCGCGCTGAGGCTCGTACGGAGCGAAGGTAGGTTGCTGTTGTTGATTCCCGCGTCCGTAGGATGAGCCATCGAGACTCATGGGCGTCACGTTGTTGTTGTTGTTGCTGTTGTTCGATTGCGCAGGTGCTTCTTGCTGATGCTGCTCGTAGAAGGACATGAAGGAGAAGAACTTCTCCATCATGCTTGGATCGAAGCCCGCGCCTTGGTTTGCGGGTGTTTCAGTAGACCCAGCTGCCGGTCTCGTTGTTGTGCCTTCCTCTGTCTGTAGGCCGGAGGCAGGAGGTGGAGTAGGAGTAGTACTAGGAGAGCTGTTGGAGGAGCTCCTCTCCTTTCTGGTAGACATGTCTCTTGGTGTATTAGGTGTTGAGGAGAAATAATTTTAACCCTAACCAGCTCTCATACCATGTTGGGCTGAGTGCCCTTTAGGATCTTTGTTAGGGTTAGAGTCTGAGTAAAGTGATGTAATAGCGGAAGCGTTTAAGTGAAGTCCTTGAACCACCTTGCGCTGGTATGTGAGGGCAAAGTAAGTTGTTTAAAGCAAAGAGATACAAGATTATATGTATGAATACAGAGAATATGAAGAGACATAGTTATAACTACTTTACTGTTGCTGTTGCGGTTCGATATAGTGCGACTCGGGCAACTGCTCAATGTCGAGTCAGTTGTGTGTCCTTGCTGTCGCGCTGCATTTGTCAGGTCAAAGGTCGCTGACCTTTGACTTTTGCGTAACCTCCAGCGGTTACATCAACCTCCGAGGGTTGACTCGCTGGTGCCTCGATATGCTCTGCTTCGCTTTTGCCTTGGTGTTTCGACACGACAGAGGCGCTTAAAATTGTTTGTTCCCAACAAACGTATCATATGGTGAATGTATCACCATATGAGGGTATTCCTTTGCCATTCTCTATCCACCTTTGTAAATGTACGAATCCACCACACGCTTAATGTAGCCATACTATTTTCGAATCGTTGAATCAGCTACAAGGCATCACACATCCTTTCCGCGCCGTCACATCGAGTCGCGCAATGTCACAGCGACACCGCCAAGCCAGTCACATCCATGCCTCGCACGACACCCTGCACGTTTGGATGTTCCGAACCTACTAATTCGCTACTGAACATACTGGGCTAACCAGCTGAAACCATGGCGCCCAGAAGCTCGGCAAAGCTGTAGTACAAACAGTAACGACGAGCCACTAGTCAACCAATCATATGGTGGTCTGGTGCCCAGAGTCCACCACAGAACCTCTAGAAACCGAAATGCGTGTGGGAACAGCCTGGGTTTAGGCTCGGCAAGTCAGGGCCTGCTTCACCTCAGGAATCGAGCCTTGGATCAGAATGAAGCGAGGAGCTACGAAGAAACGGACCTTGTGGGGCAGATGTCAAACCAGCATTTGGTTGGAGGGCGATGCCATTCAGTTCAGATGCCTAGGCCAACTGTGAAATGGCAAGCAAGAGATGTGAGGAAAGCGGGAGATCATTCATACCACAAGCACAATCAGCTGCAAATACAGTTTAGACACACTCTGCACCAAGACTTGGTTTACAAATTACAATACATCGACCCGCACAATCCGATCCCGCCCCCTTGTTTTTCAGGCGATGCAATTTCCCTTTGAGAAAATTGATTCTAGAAGAGTAATCCTTCACATCCGCGATCCTCTCGGCAGATGAGGTTCCTCCAACCTCTTCTAGCTTTGCTCGCCGCCTGCATCGTGGCTGGCGTGGCGGCAACAGGAGGAGTTCCGGGAAAATACCAGCCACGATTAATTCCTTTGAATACGGGCAACTTTGCTCCGCAGCTTCTCGCAGAAAAGTCGGTACACAATCCTCCCGCATATGCCGCTGCGAATGGCGCCGTGTTTGCCAGCTTTGAAGATACTCCTGTAGACGACGATAACCTAGCGGCTCGACTGACTGATTATGGACTCACCGGTTTCGCGCATTTGTTAAGAGAGTCCGGCGCTCTAGAACACGTTCCTCAGCTACACACTTTATCCCCGTTAACAGTCTTCGCACCTTCTAACGATGCGCTCCTCTCGCTCTCCCCTGCGGCGCTCGCGGGTTTACAGTCCTCTGATAACCGCGAGACGCTACGCAGAATACTCATATTTCACTTCATCCCCGTTAGACTATCTCCGTTTGATTGGACTGGACGGGAGACAACCCTTTTGGGTACACCCGTGGAGCTGCACATGGGTTCAGATAGCTTTTTCGTCGCCAATGTGAGCGTAACGAAAGCGAATGCGATCAAGATAAAGAACTGCGACGTCCATATAATATCTAGCCTGCTTTTTCCGCCGCTGACTGTGATCAGCAACCGAGGCGGGAACGGAGGCTCGGGGGCCGAACCTAATGAGAATTTAAGCAAGCCGATTCGCACGCGGCACGGCGTCCGGCGGGACTCGTTTCGAGATCCGGTCTTGAAAGTTGACCCGCATGAGTTCGCCTTGGGTTTCATCTCACAACGCGAGGCGTCTATGGTCGGCGGTTCGGGCGGTTCGAGCGACCAGCGGAAGATCAGAAGCTTAGATCCGTCTGACGATGAAAGCGACATTCACGAAAGCCGTCACGAGCTCCATCGCAACAGCCACGAGAGCCGCTCCGAGATATGGCGGAATCACGAGAGGACGATCGACGTGGGAGGCGGGGAAGTGGCGGACGTGCGGCGAGCGCCGGAAGAGGACGCGGCGGGCGTGTTTGCGGGGGAGCAGGGGAGCGCGGGAGGCGGAAGGTGGGGGGAAGCAGGCGGGGATGCAGCGCGGCGGTCAGCGCTGCTGGAGCAGATGCTGTCCGCCAATCTGCGCCTCTCCGCCTTCGCGCAGGGCTCCGACCCAGCTCCTGAACCCCCCCCGGAACCGTCCGTTTCTCCCCCCAGTCCCCCCTCACCTTCGCCTTCCCCCCCGCCAGCCGCGCCAAACACGTCATCCCCGCCGTCCACTCCATCGTCGTCCCGTGAGTGAGCTACGGTCGAGATTGTCATTCCACGTGTCACTACTGAGTCCACGCCATCATAATCCTCGTCACCACCAACAGGTGTTCCTGCTACGTTGAACCTGTGTCCCTTGAACCAGTCCACGTGGCAGCAGCTAAAACTTACTTATCGTTATCGATCCACGAAGCTTTGTTCATCCGTCCACATATCCACTCTGCGTGTATTCGATTTTGTCACATGCGTTACAGCCACTTTGTCAACGGGAGCCATCATTGGCATTGCTGCGGGCGGCATCGCTCTCCTCGGCGCCACCATCGCAGCCATCCTCATTATCTTCCTGTGCGCTATAAGGAAACAACGCAAAGGTACACCGTTTTCTAATATGACTCTTTGTCACACGCGTAATGCTACTGTAGTCCACTTTTGAAACGTCTTGAAAGTCAGATCTTAGTTCTGCGGTCATCAGCGCACAGCTGTATACCGTTGTACTGTACCGCTCAAAGAAATGCCAGCCCGGTGTGACTAACGCCATAAGCACAATCTTTGGGTGTGTGACTGAGAATTGCCACTCCTTCCTTTAGTGCAACCTAACAGTTACCACTCCTATTTGCAGTGCATGAGTGTTATAACCCGCAGTGTCCTCCCCACGTCCACTCTGTTAATGCTCTTCAACTTCCTGACCCCTTTTCCCTGCTTCCCCCCTCCGCCTGGTCAATCCTCTCCCCTTCCTCTCACTCTCAACTCAAGATGCCCCTCCAGGCATCAAACCCGTCAACCCTAACTACGACCCCGAGGTAGCAGCAGCCGCTGCAGCCGCAGGCGCCATGGCCGCCGCAGGGGCAGGAGCAGTAGCAGGTGGAACAGGATCAGGAGCAGGATCAGCAGCAGCGTCGGCAGCAGGGTCAGGAAACTACATCCGGCCGATAATTGTGGGGGGGTCGTCAGGCACGCCTCTGGTGTGCCACCAGTACCCGTTTGACCTCATCCGGCAGGTCACGGAGGAATTTTCCGAGACGCGCAGGATTGGCAGCGGCGGGTACTCAGATGTGTATCGAGCTGTTGACCCCATGGACCCCACGGTGCTGTGGGCCGTGAAGCGGGCGAAAGTGATCACCAATGACTTCAAGCGAGAGGTGAGAGCTCGTGTCTCGTTGACAAGCCAAGTATGCATGTATATAAATGAACCAACCAAACGCTTCATCTCGTGGACCCCACGATTCTGTGGGCGGTGAAAGGAGCAAAACTGATTACCAGTGACTTCAAGCGAGACGTGAGAGGGAAAGCTCGTTCACAAGTCTTGCAGTAGACCTGATAGAGTCACACAGGGTGAAAATAGTTAGAGAGAGTGATTTGAAATTACTTTGAAACAGGAGGTCATGCTGCTGTGCTGGCCAAGCTTCATGAGTGTTACTCCCAGTTCAGGAGATCACTCCCATCCCCTCTCCCTCTTTTGCTTCACTTTCTCGTTTAAACGTTACTGTTGCTAGATTAACGAGATGGCATCGAAGCACCATCCGAACCTGGTGCGGCTGCTGGGGTTCTGTGTGGACATGGATGTGGTGAACGAGCGCACCGAGCAGATCCTCATCTACGAGTACATGCTCAACGGCGACCTCGAGACCTGGGTGGGGCCAGGTGAGCCCTTGAGAGAGACAATGGGTGGGACCAGGTGAGGTAGAGAGACCTGGGTCGGCCCAGGTGAGCCCAAGAGACAATGGGTGGGGCCAGGTGAGACGGAGAGACCTGGGTGGGGCCAGGTGAGACCTAGAGAGAATGGGTGCGGCCAGGTGACCTGCATGGTGGCAATTGTCGGGGCAAGGTGACTGTATTGCATGTGATTGTATATCTATGTAAATTTCATGATTGTTCGTCACATGACCATATGCCTTCCGTTCGTATTTCATGTGATTTTATGCCACGCGATTGTGTGTACTGGGACTGGATATGATGGTGCCATTTGGCTGAATGACATGTTCCCGTGTGTATGACATGTTCCCGTGTGTATGACATGTTCCCGTGTGTATGACATGTTCCCGTGTGTATGACATGTTCCCGTGTGTATGACATGTTCCCGTGTGTATGACATGTTCCCGTGTGTATGACATGTTCCCGTGTGTATGACATGTTCCCGTGTGTATGACATGTTCCCGTGTGTATGACATGTTCCCGTGTGTATGACATGTTCCCGTGTGTATGACATGTTCCCGTGTGTATGACATGTTCCCGTGTGTATGACATGTTCCCGTGTGTATGACATGTTCCCGTGTGTATGACATGTTCCCGTGTGTATGACATGTTCCCGTGTGTATGACATGTTCCCGTGTGTATGACATGTTCCCGTGTGTATGACATGTTCCCGTGTGTATGACATGTTCCCGTGTGTATGACATGTTCCCGTGTGTATGACATGTTCCCGTGTGTATGACATGTTCCCGTGTGTATGACATGTTCCCGTGTGTATGACATGTTCCCGTGTGTATGACATGTTCCCGTGTGTATGACATGTTCCCGTGTGTATGACATGTTCCCGTGTGTATGACATGTTCCCGTGTGTATGACATGTTCCCGTGTGTATGACATGTTCCCGTGTGTATGACATGTTCCCGTGTGTATGACATGTTCCCGTGTGTATGACATGTTCCCGTGTGTATGACATGTTCCCGTGTGTATGACATGTTCCCGTGTGTATGACATGTTCCCGTGTGTATGACATGTTCCCGTGTGTATGACATGTTCCCGTGTGTATGACATGTTCCCGTGTGTATGACATGTTCCCGTGTGTATGACATGTTCCCGTGTGTATGACATGTTCCCGTGTGTATGACATGTTCCCGTGTGTATGACATGTTCCCGTGTGTATGACATGTTCCCGTGTGTATGACATGTTCCCGTGTGTATGACATGTTCCCGTGTGTATGACATGTTCCCGTGTGTATGACATGTTCCCGTGTGTATGACATGTTCCCGTGTGTATGACATGTTCCCGTGTGTATGACATGTTCCCGTGTGTATGACATGTGACTGTAGCCTGTCCGCATGGCATGTCAGTGTAGGCCATGTGACGGCACAGCATTTGACTGGACAATATGTGACTTTACGCTTATCAGACGTTGATGGCAAACTGCATTCGCATCACACTCCCACTTCCCCATTCCACACCCGCTCCCCTCGTTTTCCCTTCTTTCCTTCGACCATTTCCAGACGCACCCAGATTCTTGACTCTCTCCCAGCGGCTTGCGATCCTGATAGGGGTGGCGCACGGGCTGGAGTATCTGCACAGCTTTGGCATCGTGCACCGCGACATCAAGCTCGCCAACATCCTGCTGGACCGCCACATGCACGCCAAGGTCGCCGACTTTGGCCTCGTGCGCATGGGCGAGGGCACCTCCGTCGGCACCACCCGCATCCTCGGCACTCCCGGCTATGTCGACCCCGCATATTCCCGCACCCGCAGGGCGACAACGGCGACCGATGTATACAGGTACAGTAGAATAGGAAGCCAGTTTATTTGTAAAATTTGCTGAAATGTGTTGCGGACATGGACCCTAGTTCCACATTATCGCACATTTCTGCTCGGTTGTGAGCATGCTCTGTGTTTCTGAGCTCCTCTTTTTCTTGCATTGTCTTGCAAATTTGGTGCTTTTGGTCCTGGAGATCATGACTGGAGAAACATAAAGAACTGATGGGATTGATTTACATTCATTTTTACTCACGTCGATGCTTGGTCCCCTGTGTGCTTTCATGCCCATGCTTTTGCATGTCCCCGTTGCATATCATGCAGCTTTGGCATTGTGATCCTGGAGGTCATGACTGGGCAGCGGGCAATGATGGGCAAGGGAGAGCACCAAGTCAGCATCAAGGACTGGGTGAGTGCTCGATAGATATCATGTGGTACTGCAGTTCCGTGATCATTGACTTGATTCGGCCGATGGAACCACTTTTGGTGACAAACTGTTGAATTTCACATCTTGTACTCCTCAATTCACCTTCTTCCCATTCTACACCCTTTCTCTTCCCACCATAATCTGCTCTGTTATTTTCCCCGGCTCATCCCCCAGGCCACTCTCCAACTGCTTGCTTGGGCTGTTAGCTCCTTCACCACATCCCCTCAGCCTTCCTCATGCCAATCACCACATGCCACATCACCCACGAGTGAGCTGTCACTGTCTCATTGGTTGTCGCCTCCCCAACATCCCCTCACCCCTATGTCAGGCTGATCAGCACCTGCTTACCAACAATGCTAATGGCCTCAAGGATCCCCGGCTAGACACTCCAATTCCTGATGAGCTCATTCTCCGGATGGTCAAATTCGCCCTGACCTGCACTTCCATTCCCACTGCAAATCGCCCGACCATGAGCCAGATTTATTCAGAACTAAAGAGCATGAAACAGGAGTGTTTTGGGGTTGAGAAGAATTCGGCTGCTAATATGGTCGATGCAGAAATATCGATAGCTGTAGGAGAGGCGGCTATTCCGCTTGATCAGCAGATTGCTCAGATTGATGAGCTTGAATCGGCTGAATTCAGCACGAGTGCTTGGAGATCAAATCCTTCAAGATCTGGGGGGACAACCGAGTAGTGATAGGCTACACTCGAGCCTGTACTATGTTGTAATGCCCAACTCTAGCATGTAGCTTCAGAAATACAAGCTTTTGAAAAGCCATTCCCTTTTTTCTATGAAGAACTAAAGACACCCAATATACGGAGAGGATTTTGTTTCTAATATTTTTCAGCACATGTACCTACTTTGTCTGGGCATCTACACTGCATGCTTCTGCCATTCAGCATTCCTGCTATTGTGAAAGCTTACTTAGTCCATCTTGCAAAGGCAGCGTGCTTCATTCCAATGGGCAGCGTGCTTCATTCCAAGTGGGCAATACAACGTTCTCGTTCATAAATGATACACAATGGGGTGGGTGGTGGGAAAGTAAACTAGAAAAGTTGGAAATGAAGAACGTGGGTGAAGGCGACTGAACCCACGTCCCTCTTTTGTAGGCAAAAGAGGGGTGAGTAGCGTCGAGCCGCTACCTTTGCTTTACTGGCCACGTCCTCGCTTTCACAATACGAAATTTGAAAAAGTGTTACACTTTTAAAAATTATAATATTGTGAAAGCTTGCTTAGTCCATCTTGCAAAGGCAGCGTGCTTCATTCCAAGTGGGTCTTCTGAGGCAAGTGCATTTTGGGTCGGCGGTGCCTCTCCAACGATTGCTGGTGCCGACCAGGCGACGGGGCTGCAGAGGTGTCCTGCAGCCGGGTGGAGAGGTCGATGAGTTGGTCTTGGGCGATGGTGACGTAGAGATCCTTCGCGCCGTCGCTACGCCATCGCCCCATTCGTTTGAAGAGCCGGTCAGGGATGCCTAACGCCGCTGCTGCTGTTGCCGCGCCCTTGCGGGAATGAGTGTGTCCCGATGTGTGTGGCGTCGAGCCCTGCCTTCTTGCACGCCTCGAGGCACCAGCTCCGAATGGTTGGGTATGAAGGCGATTTGTCGTGCGGCGAGGCCTGTGCCCTTTTGTTGAAAACCCGAATCAGTGGCCCGTGAGGCATGTTTGCAAGGCCTGCGATGCGAATGAACTCCCGTGTGCATCTCACTGCACAGTAGGGCCCTGCTGACGCTGCGACCGGGATCCACGTGCCCTTGCCTTCTTGGTCCGTCTTAGAGTAGGGAATCAGTAGCCACATTGCCTCCCCTTCGAACTGAATGTCGCTCCATTGGAGGGAGATCAGGTCGGAGTAGCGCAGGAATGCCGCGAACATCAAGAGAGGTATCAAGCCTTTCTGATATTCCGCCGGCACTGTTGATTCCAGGAATGGTCGTGCCATGTTGTGCAATTGATGTAGTGACACGGGTTCCTTGGTCCTTGTTGGGCGTAGGCCATGTCGCTTAGCGAACTCTCGTACTTGCAGCGTGAACGGGCCGTTCGTTGGGGATGCCTCTCCGGTCATTCGATGGGCGAAGGCTACGGCAGAGCATGTGAGGTTGATCGCTGACGTTGTTGCCTTGTTGTTCAACGCATGGACTAGGTAGAGTGCCAGCGTGAGGTCCGTCGCTGGCAGAAAAGCTAGCTTGACTCGGGTGCAAAAGTTGCGAAATTTGAGCCAGTAAGGCTGGTATGTCTCGATCGTAGACGGTGCGCGAACATCATTTATAACTTGTAACAGTTGGTTTTGAAGCTGGGTCAATAATCCTGAAAGAATTAACACTCGAATATTAGTCACGTATGATATTTTACATGCAAGGCAATTACTGGGCTATGGGGTAGGCCTAGTCCGGAAAATGCTGTTGCATGCGAACCAGGTCGAAGGCACTGGCTGCCTTGAGCGAGTGGCAAGCATGCGATCACTTCTGGGGCCCATGTCTCTGGGGAGGGTTGTAGCAACGGCCACCATGCTGCTCCCGGCCACTTGGGGACGACGAGTGTCAACTCGGCTTGTGTGCGCCTGGCGTGAGAGAGTGTGGCTGGGATCAAGCCGGGGGGCGGAAAGGTGAAGCACCGCTCGCCTTTCCACGAGATCGAGAACGCGTCAATTACTGTGGCACTTGGGTGCGGTATCTTGGAGCAGAATCGTTGCAGCCTCCTGTTGCTAATGTTCGCGAAAAGGTCGATCGTATGGGGGCCCCATCGACGTTCCAGTAGGCGAAACCATGGCATGTGCAGCGAGTAGTCGTCATGGTCTTGGAGTTTTGACAGTTCGTCCGCGTGGCCATTGAGCTCCCTTGGGATCCATTCGATTGCTAGACGTGTATGGTTCTTGAGGCAAAACTGTATGACTGCTTGACAAGTCAGTGTGAGCCGAGGTTGACTGGACCCCCCTTTGCGCAAGATAAACATGACTCCTTGGTTGTCCACGCGAACCAAAACGTGGCCGCCTGTGAGATGGGACGCAAATGTCTGTAGCGCCCAGAGGACACCCTCGAGCTCCCTTTGAGTGCTTGAGGTTGGGAGGAGCTCGCTCGGCATGCTGGCGCTTGCTTCGTACGACGCGTCGGTAAACTTGGTGAGGGTGGCGCCCCAGCTGTGAGCGCTCGCGTCGACGTGGATCACAACATCGAATTGATGGCTTAGGTGAAATGGGGCACCGTTAAACTGGTCGAAGTGCAGTTGCCAGAAGATTAGCTCCTCGATGGCGGCCCGTGTCAGCCCGATCCTTGAGTTCCAGGATGCCGCTGTCCCGATCAATTGTAGCAGCTCGTGGCTGAAGGCGCGTGATGTTGTGCCCAATGCGAGGGACATAGAGCTCAACATTCCGGTGATACGAGCGACTTCCCGAATTGGGACTTGCTGGCCGCGTTGCCCCTTGGAGATGAGTGTGTGCAGCTTGTCGAGGAACTGCGCTCGCCGATCGGAGCCGATGCTAAACATGCCGCATGTCGTGTCCAGCTCCATCCCCAGAAATCGTGTTTGATGGGCCGGCTGGAGGCGTGATTTCTTTTCATTGATCACGAAACCTGCCGCCCCCAGGTCTCGGAGAACCTCTGTGCATGTCTTGCGTGCGTGCTCCGCCGAGTCGCAGAGGAATAGCAGGTCGTCCACATATGGGACTACGCGCACGCCCCGCGCCCGCCAGCGTTTGGCCAATTGCTTGATCAACTGGGTGAAGACGAAAGGTGCTGTCGCCAGTCCAAACGGCAAGGCTCGGAAGCAGTAGAACTCGCCTTCGAATTGGAAGCCTAGGAACTTCCAGCACGAAGGGTGCATCTCGACATGGTGGTAGCCCGATTTTAGGTCAATGGTGAACAGCCAGTCGTTGCGTCGAATGATCTCCGAAACGCGATTCAGGCCCTCGTATTTGAATTTAGTGACTTGGAGGTGTTGGTTGACCTTGCGTAGGTCGAGGATGAGGCGACATTTGTCGCGTTGTTCTACCACGTTGAGTGGGCTCACGCACGAGAGCGCAGTCCGCGAGGCGACCTTGGTTGCCGCGCCCGATGTGATTAAGTCGCGAATGGCCTCACGAGTGAACGTGGTGTGTGCATGAACACCCGCGTGGTTTGTGGTTTCGAAGGGTGGCGGTTCTGTAGTTTTCCAAGGTAGCCAATATCCCCTGGCAATAATAGAGATGATAAAACTGCTGTCGCACCACGATATCCACCAATGCAGTTGGTTACGCAATCGGTTGCGCATGACCTTCACTGTGTCATCTGTGACCGCGTTCTCGTATGGGTCCCATTCCGCCTCTCGCCACTTGTCGTCCGCTACTGCACGTGGGGCAACCGGGGTGTGGTGTATTGGGTGATTAGCCTTTGCCCATAGGACCAGCCCGGGGGCTTATGCATACTCGGTGCTACGCCTTCCGTCTCTCCTTGTATCCTCCCTCCTCTAGTCTTCCTTTCTCCATGTTTCTTGCTCTTACTCTCTTTCTCTCTCTCTCTCTCTCTCTCTCTCTCTCTCTCTCTCTCTCTCTCTCTCTCTCTCTCTCTCTCACACACACACACACACTCTCTCTCGCTCTCACTCTCTCGCTCTCGCTCTCTCTCTCTTTCTCTTGCTCTCTCTCGCTCTCTCTTGCTCTCTTTCCCTCCCTCTCCCTCTCTCTCTCTCTTTCTCTCTCTCCCTTTCTCTTCCTTGCGTTCTCTCTCTCTCTCGCTCGCTCTCTCGTTCTCTTGCTCACTCCTCTTCCGATCTTTCCATTTGCTCTTCTTCTCGAACTCTGCCCCGTATTCGCACGTTTTCCTTCCATCTCGTTTTCTTCCTCTTTCCTTCGTACTCTTCCCTTCAAGTCAGGGGGGCGCTTGGGCTGGAATGGCTGCCTTGGCTTTACTTCCTTCTCTCCCACTTTGTTTGGTTGCATGTGTGGGTGTTTTTTTTTTTTTTTTTTTTGAAAACCAGAGGCAAACTTTTATTCCCACACATGGGTACATAGCATGTACTGCCCCCATAGCTACCCTTATGGCTAGGGATTTCTAAGGCCTCCAGCCCATACTCCCTGCTAGCTACCAGCCATGCACCCTCGGTGCTCCACCTACGCCCCCCGGCATAGTGGCAAGGGGCTCTGCCCCGTGTGCCTCCTCACACGACGGGTGAGGGGCCTTGAGCGCCCCGCCCTCCCATAGGGCAAGCATTTGCCATATGGCCGGGCTGGCCGCATCGGAAGCACACCCCTTTGAAGCGGGGCTCGTGGCAGCTTGCGGGAGGCATGCCCTTGCCTTCCGTGTCGCCATCTCGGGTAGGCATGCGATTACCGCGAGTGTAGCCGGCGCGTGCACCCTTGAGAGCCGCCACATCCGCAACGGCGAGCTTGTAAGAGCGGAAGGTTGACACGCTCTTGGACTGGTATAGCTGAAAACGATCGGCAGCCTCGAACCCCGCCTCGTCCGCCACTAAGAGGACTTCGAAGCGCTTGTGGATGAGCGTTTCGATTTCCGCAACGTTGGCGAGTGCGCTTTCGATGTCGCCGTGCTGGAGCTTGAAATTGACGTGCTTCAGGTGTGCCTGGATAGCAGAGAAAACCTCCGCCTGATCGCGCACGCCCTTGCGCATGAAGGTGGTAGGTGCGGGTGTGGGGTTGAGGGGTGGAAGAGAAGGTGCTGGTGCAATAACGCGACGACGGGTGATGTTATTGGGGGCCTCACCATCATCGTTGTCTGAGTCGTCGCTGTCGGCTTGAGCGGCGATTGGTGCCGGTACGGGAGCGGGAAGAGGTGCGGCAGTGGTCTCGTTGACGCGAGCAGCCTTGTTTGCGCGGGGAGCGTTGACTTCTTTCTGATTTTCGATTTTTGCAGGTGCAGAATTATAGTCGGAAGAAGTTGCGATTGTTACTGGGGCTTGCTGCTGTAACATCGAAAGCAGTGCCTGCATCTGCTGCGCAGTGAGGGACGCGAAGGGGTTGACTGGGGCGGCTTCTGCTGGGGTCGCTGCCTTCTGTCGCTTCTGCAGGGTGGGCCCCGGCTGACCAGCGTCGTCGTCCGCGTCAGCCGGCGTTGACTTGACTGGCGCGCGCGGCTGCCTGGCGGCCACACGCTCGTCAGCAGGAGGCACGCGCGACTGTTTCACAGCCGCGCGTGCTTCTTCGGAGGGGGCTCGAGAGTTGCTCCCGAGCAACACTTCGACTCCTGAAGTGCCCTCGCCGAAATTGTCTTCGGCAGGGCGTTTTCCGCGGCGGTCGGTTGCCCCGGGCGTGTTCGCGTGCTCCGAAGCGTTTCCGGGGTTGTTGGTCTTTTCCGCCTCTCGATTAAGTGCAGTGTTGGCGGGGGCCATATTCGCCAGGTTGTGTTGGAGAATGTCTGTGAGAAGGGTCGACGGGGACTTGAACCTCGGGAGAGATTGCGTCTTCGCTAGGATGAACGAGAACTAGGAAAGTAAACTAGAAAAGTTGGAAATGAAGAACGTGGGTGAAGGCGACTGAACCCACGTCCCTCTTTTGTAGGCAAAAGAGGGGTGAGTAGCGTCGAGCCGCTACCTTTGCTTTGCTGGCCACGTCCTCGCTTTCACAATACGAAATTTGAAAAAGTGTTACACTTTTAAAAATTATAATGTCATTCTTGAGTAGAAAATTGCTCTAGTCGAGTTGCCTGATGTCGAACCAGTACCAACCACCTCATCAAACCACCGACATGCCATGAATGGTATGGCGCCCTTACGTTCGGAAGATTGGGGAAGCTGTTTTAGCGGCTCAATCAAACAGCTCAGAGACGAGGCTTGATTGCTAAGCACTGCCACATTGAACCTTGTCCGAGATGTGATTGGGTGATGGTCAGGTAAGGGACCTGGTGGTCAGCCTCGTCTCTTCCGAGCCTGCAGCAGACCATGCAGTGACCCTTCTGCACTGCCGTGACTAGCAACGACCCTCGTGAGATTGACCAAGCAAGGCTCAGCGTTCCGCCCAGTCACAACCGCCAGTACAGAGAAACGATCAGTCAGCCATGTGGCAAGGCCTTCTTTCCAGTCACTCTTCCTCGTTCAGTTGTGACAACGCAACTCAAGAAACAGCGCGACACTGCGACACCGCGACACCGCGACACAAGCACGGCGCGTCGCTGCGTAGATTAGACACAAGCAGGCGCTATATATTTGTTCAGCAGCCATGACAGGACTATCGCGGATTTCAGCTCGCACATTTTCTTGCTTCCTTGCACCTGTACAGCCCCCTAGAATCTTGATATTAAAACATACCAGGCGGAAATCCCTAGGCCTCCCCGGAAAGCTACGAGATGAGGTTCCTCCAGCCGATTCTAGTAGCTCTGCTCGCTACGTGTATCGTGGCTCCTGGCGTGGTGGCGACAGGACGGTTTTCGGGAAACTTCCAGCCCCACCCAGAACCGCTGACGACGACCGAAGATGGCTTACTGACGACGCATTCGCCTGCAGAAGATTTCCCAGACAAACCTTCCGCAAACTCCGCCGGGAATGGCGCCGAGAACGAGGCCATTGCTTTCAGTGAAGATACTGTAGAGGATGAGGGTTTAGCGGCTCGGCTGACAGGTAGCGGACTGACGGGGTTTGCGCATTTGTTACGAGAATCCGGCGTTTTAGAAGACGTTCCTCAGATGTACGATTCATCTCCGTTAACGGTTTTCGCGCCTTCTAACGATGCGCTCCTCTCGCTCTCCCCTGCCGCGCTCGCGGGTCTACAGTCCTCCGATAACCGCGAGGCTTTACGCAAAATACTCATGTTTCACTTTATCCCCGCTAAAGTATCTCCGTTTGAGTGGAACGGCTGGAAACCGACCCTTCTGGGTTCACCGGTGGAGCTGCAGATGGGCTCAGACACTTTCTCCGTCGTGAATGTGACTGTAACGACAGCAAATGCGATCAAAACGAAGAAGTATGACGTTCACACGATCTCGAACCTTCTTTTCCCGCCGCAGTTTGTGGTCAGCGACGGAGGCGACGAATTAGGTTCGGCAAACGCCGAGCCTGCGGTAAGGAGGAGCACGCCGATTCTTTCGCGGCACGGCGTTCGGCGGGACTCGTTCCGAGATCCTGTGTTCGACGATGATTCGCAGGAGGCTGTGTTCACCGACCCGCACGAGGTTCGCGACAGCATTGACGGCCGTAGGCTCGCTCGGAGGCAGTTTTACGCGAGGCCACGCCATGCCGCCGGTTCTGATGGCGGGAACGACCAGGCGGAGGGCAGAAGCTCAGGGAATTACGAGGATGGGAGTGAGAGCGGTTACGAAGTGTGGCAGAATCAGGAGAGCGCGGTCGATATGGATGACGAGGGAATGGCGGACGTGCGGCGCGCGCTGACGGAGGACGCCGCGGACGTGGCTCCGCGTTGGGGGCAGGGGAGCGGGGGAGGCGGTGGAGCGGGGGAGGCAGGCGGGGATGCAGCGCGGCGATCGGCGCTGCTGGAGCAGATGCTGTCCGCCAATCTGCGCCTCTCCGCCTTCGCACAGGGCTCTGACCCAGCTCCTGAACCCACCTTTATACCGTACAGTCCATCCCCCAGCCCCCCCCCTCAGACTTCTTCCCCCGCTCCTGCTGCGCCCAACACAACATCCACGACATCGTCATCCCGTGAGTGCTCCTCCGTCGATCCACATTGAAGTGATTGTGATCGCTCTTTTTGAACCCAACGTGCATCCTGCCAAACTTTTTGAAACAATCTGGCCTCCCTCTTCACTCCAGCTTCCACGTCTATTTGTCACCTTCATTAGAACCACCAGGCAAGAACTTAAAAAACTGCTTCTCACCATTTAGTTTTATAACCTGTGGTACTCGTTTGTGTCACCTTCATTACAGCCACTATCTCAACGGGAGTGATCATAGGCATCGCTGCGGGCGGCATTGCTCTCCTCTGCTCCACTGTTGCTGTCGTGCTCACCGCGTTCCTCTGCCTTAACAAAAGACGACAAAAAGGTGTGCATCACTACATGATCGTTGAATGCATTTTTAAAAAGTCATTGAACTCTTTTTAGGGAACCTGGTATAAGTTAATAACACTGCAGTCAACTCACTGTAACAAACCTCACATTGCTTCATGTTCCTGCTTTATCCAACTCACTTCTTCTCTCCACCTTCCCTTTTCCTCCTTCCTTCGATGGCACTCTCAGCTGCAGACGTCTCTCCAGGCAGCAAGATCAACAACACCAACTATGACCCTGAGTCTGCAGCAGCCGCTATAGCAGCAGGAGCCATGGCAGGCGCAGGCGCAGGAGCAGCAGTGGCAGGAAACCACATCCACTCGATAATCGTGGGCGGCACGTCGGATACGCCCCTGCTGTGCCACCAGTACCCCCTCTTCCTCATCAAGCAGGTCACCGAGAATTTCTCCGAGACGAGGAGGATTGGGAGTGGCGGGTACGCGGACGTGTATCGGGCTTTGGACCCCATGGACCCCACCATCCCATGGGCTGTGAAGCGCGCGAAAGTCATCACCAATGACTTCAAGCGCGAGGTGAGAGAGAGAACTCGATGACAATACAAGAATGCATGCTTTCAAATGAACCAACATAACTCTCTATTCCATACCATCCCGTGGGCGGTGAAGAGGGTGAAAAGTTATCACCAACGACTTCAAACGAGAGGTGAGTACTCTCATTTCCATCACCAATGCTTCTCTATGAACTAGTGGATAGGTTGCCCTGCTGTTTTCGCGTCACAATTACTCGTTCAATCTGCTCTCTCCTTTCAGAGGATTCAGTGCAAGAGCCCCACCCAACACCCCCACCTCACGCCCTCAGATCCACGAGATGGCATCGAAGCACCACCCGAACCTGGTGCGGCTGCTGGGGTTCTGTCTGGACATGGATGTGGTGAACGAGCGCACCGAGCAGATCCTCATCTACGAGTACATGCTCAACGGCGACCTCGAGACCTGGGTGGGGCCAGGTGAGCCCTTGAGAGAGACAATGATTGGGGGGACAGGTGAGACCTGGGTGGGGCCAGGTGAGCGGCAGTAAAAAATGAGTGGGTGAGCTGTCAGATAAGCACATAATATGGTCGCTTTTCCTACATCCTGTCCATATCAATGCTTCACAATTGCATGCCGCAAGTAGTACTTTGACCTTTTTCCCTTTTTTTCTGGTATATCGCTTCATATGAGTAGCACAGGACAGTACTAATTTATCTTGTATCTCCTCCCCTCCTCCATCAAACCTGTACTATGCACCAATTCAGAGGCACCCAAGACCCTGACACTGTCGCAGCGTTTTAACATTCTGATCGGAGCAGCGCACGGGCTGGAGTATCTGCACAGCTTTGGCATCGTGCACCGCGACATCAAGCTCGCCAACATCCTGCTGGACCGCCACATGCACGCCAAGGTCGCCGACTTTGGCCTCGTGCGCATGGGCGAGGGCACCTCCGTCGGCACCACCCGCATCCTCGGCACTCCCGGCTACGTCGACCCTGCATACACTCGCACGCGCAGGGCCACAACGGCAACCGATGTGTACAGGTACAGTAATGAGAAATACTGGTTCATATGTGATGTCTCTGCTTGGTAGTGTGACATCGCATTGTGCTTTCATGCTCCTGTTATTCTTACGAATGTTCTGTGTTCAAGCGCTTGTGTGCATGGGTGCCTGTGTCCTGATGAATGAACCTTTTTTTTCCTAGAAGTGTGTTCGTTATTCATGTTTATGCGTTCATCGATATCCATGTGCTTGTGCAGTTACGGGATTGTGATCCTGGAGGTCATGACCGGGCAGAGGGCGATGATGGGCGCAGGTGAACGACAAATCAACATCAAGGACTGGGTGAGTCTCATTCATATTGTGTTGACTGAGTTGTTTTGACAGGCTCTCGTTGTGGTTGACGTTTATCTGAATGGCACAAGGAAGCTGGCTCATAACCCGCACAATTTGTTGGTCCAATTCACACATTTTCCACTACCAAACGTCCCATCTACATACTCCCCCCGGTTGTCTTTCAGGCTGATCATCATGTGCTTGCTCGCGATGCCAATAGCCTCAAAGACCCTCGCCTCGACATCCCCATACCTGACGACCTCATGCTGCGCATTGCTCGATTCGCCCTCACCTGCACTTCTCTTCCCACTGCAAATCGACCGACCATGAGCCAGATCTACACCGAGCTTAAGAATATGAAGCAGGAATGCTTTGGAGTCGAGGAAAATGTAGCTGCTAATCTAGTGGATGCGGAAATTTCAAGCGTTGTAAAGGAAGCCGCTATTCCGCTTGATGAGCAGATAGCTCAGATTGAGCTTGCATCAGATGCATCTAGCATGGGAGCTTGGAAATCCAACCCATCTGGGTCTGGAGTGTCTATGTAAATGCTTGAGCAAGGTTTGTCTTAGTGTTTCTTTTCTGGTGCCTCCTTTCAAGTGTTTTGTAAGGAAAATTCCTTTTCCTTACTTCGCGTCCCCGCTCAGCGCGTACAGCACTGTAGCACCACAGTCAGCACCGTTACCATTCGCACCTCTCGCATCGACAATTCTCCCGCCACCTTCGCACGTCGCACCCCGACCTCAAGGCTCGGCGGGTAACTCGCGCTCCGGGCCTCCGCTTCGACATTTCCCCCAACCTCAGTCCCAGGCCCGTCGCGTGACAACCACAGTCCATTACCGTTACCACTGTAGTTTCACTATATATTCTTCACCCATGCCTTCGCTCATTGTACGCTTGCCTCAATAGTGCAATTCTAGCTAGATTACTCAATTGCACTCATAACATGTTTCTTGCTTCAACTAGCATGTAGGATACGGTAAGTCACTTGCTGAGGCGAACCGTATCGTGCAATCCAATTATTGCCGAACCTTGGTACAGTTCCCACATGAAGTCGCAAGTCGGCTCAAGCTGAGCCGCAACATTATTTGGGGAGTGACTGACACACTTCGATTCCAAACCAACATCATGAATTGCTGCCCCACAAACACCACTTACACCCATTTTTCCACCTAACTCTGCCTGCGTTCACAGCAAACGCATTTATTCGTCTCTGCATCAACCCAAGTCCGCCCCTCTATCTACAGGCGAGAACTCTCTTTGTTTCTGAGGTTCTCTCTCCCCGTTACTCCATCCATTCCATAAAGATCGTAGAGATTTCTAGCCACCATGACTTGCAAGTGTCGCCTTGTTGGAGTTTCTTTACTCGCCATTTTCATTCTCATGTTCGTTGCTGCAAATGCACCATGGCCGATGGTTCACGCTGGCAAAAGAACCTGGAGTATGCCATTTCAGTTCACTACGTTCCAATCGATGAGTTATCCTCGAACACGGCGCGCTGCGGCAGAGACCCGGCACCACGGCAGCCTGCATGAAGACGAGGAGACGCGCTGGGCTCGGCGCGCAGTGCTGGACGACACCGGAACGGAAGGATCGCCGGTTGCACGGCAGAGGAATCTGGAGGAGCCGCTGCTGGCAAATCGGCGAATGCTGGAAGCGGTCGCCGCGCACGCACGGCCCCGCCCCCGTCCGAGACCTTCTCCCCGCCCCCGGAGTCCGCGTACTCCGCCTTTGCCTCCTCCGCCTCCCCCTGATTCACCTTCGCCTCCTCCGCCTCCCCCTGATTCACCTTCGCCTCCTCCGCCTCCCCCTACTTCGCCTGCTCCGTCCTCTCTGCCAAGCCCCCCAGCCCCTCCTTCCGGCGCTCCACCTTCCAAGCCTGCACCAGCGTCCGAACCTGCGCCACCTTCCCCAGCTCCACTTTCCAAACCTGCGCCGGCATCCGAACCTGCGCCAACTTCCCCAGCTCCACCGTCACGCTCAGCGCCCGCGCCCGGCTCATAAGCAGCGCCGCAGCCACCTCCACCGGCACAGCCGCAGGCACAGGCACCACCACAGCCGCAGGGAGAAACGCCATCCAACTCCACCGCCAAGCAGTCAGGCTCTTCTTCCCCTAGTAAGGCACCCTCCCTCCCCTCATCGCTCACCTCCTCACCAGATACCACCTACTAGGTCATGCCTTTCGGGTCCACCTTGCAGGATTTGACCTCGGGTTGGTCTGCTGAGCTCTGCTCTGCTCTCTGAACAGGCACTCTCAAACTCCAGCTGACTGCGTTTCAATCCCCGGGATTGAAATTTGGGACGACCCAAGGCTCACCACCCGAATTTGGGATCCACCATGCCTTCTCATGACCCATTTCGGCGATGCATCCCATACCACCATGCATCCCATGCACCCATGCCGCCATGCCGCCATGCACCCATGCCGCCATGCCGCCATGCACCCATGCCGCCATGCTGCCATGCACCCATGCCGCCATGCCGACATGCATACAGGAACCTTATCCGCGGGAGCTATCGTTGGCATCGTGGGTGCGGTAATTACCCTGCTGGCTGTGGTGACTCTTCTTCTCGTCTTCTTCGCCACCCAGTGAACTGAAGCACGCAGGTAAAGGTAGAGCTCAGGATAGATCTTGGCTAACTTGCATATCCTCTCTCTCTCTCTCTCTCTCTCTCTCTCTCTCTCTCTCTCTCTCTCTCTCTCTCTCTCTCTCTCTCTCTCTCTCTCTCTCTCTCTCTAATGGCCCTTTCATTGATACTCAAAGCGTACAGACATGCAGGGTATAAGTCAACGCAAAGTTGGGGCTAGTACTGCCTATACTTCCTATTCTCTCATCGTGCTCTGCACCGTCTAAGTGAGATCCCGTGATGGATCAAGAACCGCGAGGCAGTCCCCAAGGGACGGGGCCTCACCCACTGCTTCTAGTAGTGGGTTTTCAACTGCTGCTGCTATGTTGCACTTTTCCAGGTACCCAATCGACTGCCCACGTTGAAGAGCCACTGACCACCGCTGCCGGTATTGGTGTAAGAGCTTGGCAGCTTGGTAGGAGGTGGGCTCGGCGTTGAAAAGCCGCCGTGCAGCCGTTTCTGCGAGTAGTTTCAAGAAGTCTACTGACTCTAGGCAGGGACACCCGTATGTCTCGACCGCTAGTGGGAAGAACTTCACCCACTCTGGGCGGTCCTTGTAAAGGCCGTGTTTCTTATCTGCTGCCTCCCGTACCGCCCACTCCCTCCCCTTGGTGGCGTTCTCATCGCGGGTGCTGATGGGGTCCGTTATCGTCACATCGCAGATGTAGACGGCGCCAGTAGAGCGGCAGCGTAAGGCCAGGTCTGCCTTCTTCTCCTCCACTGGGCTGAAGGCGGCCGTCTCGATGTGCACCATGAAGCCTGCATCTTGCGCCATCCGCGGGCACTCATCTCTGAGTTCATTGTGTGTGTTTGTGCGCCCCCCCCCTGTTCCGCACCGAAGCAGGTGATTCGGGAGCCGCTTATCCGGGATCTCCACCTTCTTGGAGCAGTTGCAAACCCCTGGAGCCGCAAAGGGGAGCCCTAGCCGAAACTGGAGTGCGTTGGCATAGTGGGGAGCCTCAAGGCGGAGCGAGGAGTGGATGGGCACTGCGTTTAACCAATCCCCCGCCCCATACCCTGATAGGGACAGCATCCGCTGCGTGTGACCGTTGTTGGGGTTCGGGCTCATCCCCCGCACCTCCTCCACCTGCACCGCATAGCGCTGGCCCTGGATGGCCGTGGCCAGCCCGTGCTGTAGTTTCCCTGCAATTGGAGCCGATCTCTCAGCCTTGGGCTGGAAGCGGCAGTTCCCCTTCACATTCCGCAAGCCATTCGGACAAGGGGGAGGACTCGGTGTAGGGACCAGGCATCAGCTCACGCGTGACTTCCAGTGGGCCGGTGCACTTGCTGTCCAGGGAGTCAAGCAGCAGTTGCGCCTGCGTGTAGCTGGCGAGGAAGCTGTAGCTTTCCTCTACTGATGGGTCCGTCAACCCAAGGCCACCGAGCGACACGGGGAGTGAGGCTTGCGCCCACGTGCGTGAAATCTCCTCGTCCCCACGAGGGTGATTGATGGCGCATGCTGTTAGTAGTGTTTCCAGCAGCCTCCGTCCCCACTCAGACCACTCCTCCTTTGGCAGGAAAGGCAGTGGGGTTATGCGGGCTAGGTATGACACTCGGCGGGAGATACACCGGGAAAGCAGCAGTCCCCCCAGCTGTGGCTCCATCCGCTCAATCAATCCCAGCGGTGCGCCCATCGCCTCCAGGCTGGACCGTATGAAGCCAGTGGTTGCCGTGGAGGTGCCAATGTAGCTGCCCAGCACCTTCAATCCGTCACTGCTGGAAGGGACCCCCTCTGGCAGGCGGTAGTCCGTGGGCGTCCTGCTTGCCCAAGCCCCGCACTTGGCAGGATTGTGGCTGAGCCTGATTTCTGCCAGGCGGCCCGTGAAGTGTGTAAAAGCAGCTGCACATGACGACGGTTCTCCCAGGAAGGTCACGTCGTCCGCGTAGGCCAGGCAGATGACCTCGGGGTGAGCCTCCGCTGCTGCTCTCAAAGCTGGTTGCATGGCCGCGGCAAAAAGAAGGGGGCCGAGGGGATCTCCCTGGCGGACCCCTGTTTCACTGAGCAGGGGTGGGTGGGCGAAGGCTGCATCCAGATGCAGCGTGGAGGGTTGGCCGTACGAGAAATGCACCAATGGCAGCAGCGGTTCTAGCTGCGATCCTTTCAAGGCCGTCGCTATGGCGTGGCGGCTGACACTATTGAACGCATTGGCCAGGTCGGCCTGTAACACCAGGGCGTCCTGGTTGGCCGCTGTGTGGGTCCGGACAACATGTATGACTGCTTCTGCTCCTCCTGGCACGGCTACTCCGAACTGTAAAGGTAAGAAATACTCTCGTGGTGCGTCCGCTACCTGAGTAAGTGCTGCCTTGGCTGCTAAACGCAGGATGCACTCCCCTATGGCAATCGGTCTCGTTCCTCCATCCGGCTTGTCGAGGGCTATCAAGCGCGAGGCTGTAAGAAGCTTCCCTACTTCCTGGTGCAGCTTCCCTCTCAGGATTGTGTTAACCAATGCATGTAGGTGAGAACCGACCGTGGGGTGTATCAGGGCAGCTTCGCGCAGGTGCTCGAATGTTGTCCCTGAGGGACCTGCACCTACCCCATTTTCACATTTCGAGAGGAGCTTCAGGAAAATTTCCCGTGATACTGCCAGGTAAGTGTCTGGGTCGGGCTCGGGCCAGGATGCGTCGGAGTGCGGGGCACTAGGGTGCTTGGCGCGGAGGGATTCTAAAACCGCAGGTGAGGGCTTGCTGACTGGGGTGGCTTCCAGTGCCATGACTGCTCTCCGTAAGCTGCCACGTCGCGCCAAACCCTCTGCCCTGGATATTATCCCTAGGTCGTCTGGGAGGGGGAGGGGAATCCAACGAATCAACCGTCTCCTGGTACAGTGCCTCCCATTCCCCTCGCAGGAATTTACGCAATCTTTCCCTGGTCGCTTTCCAGTCAGGGTGCCTCGGCGAATGCTGACGCAGCGTCAGGCGAGCCGCAAACAGCAGAATTGTCCAGGCAGAGATGGAGTCTGGGTCGTGTGCTGGTCGTAGCAGTGGTGTTAGCATTACCATAGCGAAAAGTAGGCCCAGTTTTTCCGGCAGGCGACGTGCCAGCGGAGCGTTGCGGCTATCGCGCAGCTTATCCAGATTCCAGGTCCTGACATTCGCGAATAGTGTGTCGTCCCTGGCGAGGGCTTCGGGCGACTTTTGGGGAGGGGGTTGTAGTTGCTGTTGCTTACCCCTCGCTGCTGTTCGCGGTACATTTGCAGGTGGCGATGTCAGGTTTGGTTGGGCGGGATGGTTGGCAGTGGTGGCAGGGCGGCGGGAAGCGGTTTGAATTTGTGGTGAGGGTCGCGGCTGGGTGGGTGTGCTTGTGAAATTTGTAGACGCGCCTCGGGCATGGGTTGGGCCGATTCTCCCCCGAGCTGGAGTTTGTGACTGGGCCTCCTCCGAGGCATTCGAATTTGAAGGTGAGTCTGCTTCTTCCTCCTCTGCCGCACAACTGCTCCCCCGGTTCCCCTTGCCGCTGCTGCACCGTCAACGGCCCCAGTCCAACTGGCGTCTGCTCCCCCGCCAAGCCTCCCTCTTCCTCTCGGTGCTCCTGCCCCTGATGCGCCCGCTCCTGTTGCGCCGCAACCGCCTGTGGCGTCGCCACTTGTCCAAGCTGCCGCCGGCGTCCCTGCGCCGGGGACAGCGGTGGGCGCCTCCCACGACCCCGCGCACCAGGTCGCACTTGCGTCTGCACCGGTACAGCCCGTCGCGCAGCCGCACGCGGAGTCCCACAGTCGTGGTGTTGCTGGGGGCAGTACGGCGGCGCATCGGGGGCGTGGTTCTCCTCGGCGTCGCCCCTCCCCATTGTACCGGAATGCGCATCGCGGTGGCCGCGGTGGCTGGTGGGGAGGTCACGGTCGCGGACGTGAGGCGCCGAGCGAGATGCAGCAGTTACGCGACGACTTCCCTGGGATGTTGGCCGCGGCGATGAGCGAGGCACTGAACAGTGCGTCGAATCCTGTGGCTGCCCAGGCTCCTCCTGCTCCACACGCGGTTCCTGCGCCGAGTGCTCAGGCGTACCCGCAGGGTCCAGGCCCAGCTGTTGGCCGTGCACCACCACCCGCATCTCGTCCGGTCGCCGCCCCTCCGTATCCGCCTCTTCCATGGATTCCCCCCATTCCGGACACGTGATTTGTGGGAGCGGGAGGCGGAGAGGCGAGGGGGCCCTTCCGCCCTCTGCGTCGCGTTGATGAAGGTCCGACTGCGCCCCCTCCGCCAGCTCTTCCCGTTCCCGTTGCGGCGAGGCTGACCGGGACGGCTGAAGTTCCCACGGCGACTCTCGCGCAGCTGTGGCGCTTGGTGGAGTGCCAGCAGGCCCTGACACTGATTCTGGTGAATTCGCACTTTGCCATCCTCCGGAACCCAGGGAGCACTCTCGATCCGATGGCGTGAGCTGATTGCTTGGCAGCGGCAGCGCAGTTCGCCTTCCTCCTGCTACCCGTGCTGGGAGCGCCCGCGCCGGGAGGCGTTGCGGTAACGCAGCTGGACCTAACTGTCCAGGATCTGACTGGGCACCTCCGTGAAGGAGGCGCTGTTGAAGCGCTTGGCGCGACCGCGTTAGTGGTCCGCCAGATGTGGAGGACCATGCGAGGGATCCTCGCGGCACTTGACGCCCACTTGATGTAGGTTTTGGCGTCCGCCGCACGTAGACGTGTTGCATCTTGATTATCTAGGTGTTGCGCTTGTTGGTTGCCTCCTTTGTGTCTTGTTTTTCTTATGCTCTTTTCAGATTGTTGCTTGTCTCCCCAAAGCGCGCGGCCGAAGGCCGCGCACGCGAGCGCTGGCGGCCGACGGCCGTCGGCGCGAGCGCCGCTAAAAACTGGAACGAAAATGAACTAATGGGAGAGGAATGGCCAGTCGGGCCCCTTATATAGCCAGAGGGCAGGGGCAGAGGCTAGAGGCAGAGGCTAAGTCCTCTCTCTCTCTCTCTCTCTCTCTCTCTCTCTCTCTCTCTCTCTCTCTCTCTCTCTCTCTCTCTCTCTCTCTCTCTCTCTTTCTCTCTCTCCATGCCGCTAAAAACTGGAACGAAATGAACTAATGAGAGAGGAATGGCCAGTCGGGCCCCTTATATAGCCAGAGGGCAGGGGCAGAGGCTAGAGGCAGAGGCTAAGTCCTCTCTCTCTCTCTCTCTCTCTCTCTCTCTCTCTCTCTCTCTCTCTCTCTCTCCCTCTCTCTCTCTCTCTCTCTCTCTCTCTCTCTCTCTCTCTCTCTCTCTCTCTCTCTCTCTCTCTCTTCCCCAGTTCTCTCTTAGGAATCCCCAACAACAGCGCTACCGTCCATGCTAGAAACGCCTCCTGTTTCTCCACTAAAGTTGTGCTGCTCACTTTGCATGTGACATCAGCCTCCCTCCCTCCCTCTCTCCTCACGCTCATCTCCTCTCACCTGCCCTCTCATAATCCCCACTTCCCCTGGTACAGCAGCAGGAGGTTCGGTACCAGAAGGATCGGCAAGGAGTTCCACCCAATCCGGAAGCGCCTGGGGGGGAGGCTCGGGCTACTACGAGACCTCTTTCCAGTAGGAGGAGCTCGAAAGAGGGCCCCCTGAGGCACAAAAAAATCTGGGGTCATCTCAGCTCAGGGGTGATTCTAATGAAATAAGCCGTTCATAATTACTGGTAGAGTAATACCGGTAATAATAATAAAATGGATCTTCCCATCCCAGCATGGGGAAAGGGAGGGGGCAGTGCAGTGGTTCATATGGAGGCCAGGAGGCTAGTGATTTGGGAGAGCCAAGTCAGAGTGATAAGGGTCTCTTGTCAGGAGGCAGAAGCAGGAGGGAAGGGGCACCGCCACATGTGGCTTTGGCTGGTCGCTCGCCCGGACATTGTGGTTGTGATTGCGCAGGCCGCTATGGCACTTGTAGAGCTCCTGTGGGGCTCTTGTGGATGAGGAGGGTGCTGCTCAAAGCAAGAAGCGCAGCGAAGAGGAGGTGCAGTGAATGTGTGGACAATACCAGTAGGCGGTAGCCTAGGTAGCGGCAGCACCTACCCTACACTTCAAAACGGGTTTTAGCTAGATGATACTATACGGGCTTTAGCTAATGCCTTTACCGTGGCATACATGGTCAGTTTTCCCTGTTCCTGCTGTTTGATTGGCCAGCTTTAGTGTCATGCAGGAAACTGGAAGAGCAGGTGTTTAGGGTTGGTGGAAGGAAAGGTTCGTACAGATATGTGTCAGAATGAGGAATGAGTGTTGCATTGATGTTGGTTGGGGTACATATGACAAACCCTAACTTCTGTACCCCCTAAGACAAACCTCACTACAGGCTACAACATTTGACACACCCCCATAGCCTAAGTGAGGGGTGTCTAGCAAAAACAAAAAGAGTACGGTCACAAGACCAGTCCAAAAGAAAACAAAGCTCAGGGTGGATCACAACGTCACCACACACTCTGAGCACAAGCAACAGTGGCCACAAGGCCAGTCCAAGAGATCACAAGTATATATAGTAAATGTACAGACGAAGCAGGCAATAAACTCAAGTCTACGCATGACTAGAACCTGTGTCAACAAGGCCTAACTGCACACAACACCTCTGGTGGTCACAAGGCGGAAGCGCCTTGGTGAAGATGTCTGCAGTGTTGGCCTCGGACTCTACGAACTCGAAGCGAGCCTGTCCACGCCTCTGCAACTCTCGCAGAAGAAAGTACCTGATGTGAATGTGCTTCACTCTGCTCTCCAGTCGCGGCTCACGACAGAGGAGGATCGACGCCTTGTTGTCAGTAAACAAGGTCGGTGCAGAGCTCGGCCGCTCACCAAGGTCAGTGAGCAAGAAGGTCAACCACCGCAACTCCTGTGCCGCCATGGCACCAGCGTAAATCTCAGCCTCAGCTGTAGAGGTCGAGACAGAAGAGGAGCGCGTGGAACGCCAGGAAACAGCTCCAGAACCCAGACTGAAACAGTACCCCTGAGTAGACCTGTGAGTCTCAGCGTCGTCAGCGTAAGAGGAGTCACAGTGACCAGTGAGTACGACAGACTGCTGCCCTCCAAGAACTAGCCCCACGCCTGATGTAGTCGCTAGGTACTTCGCCACCCTCACAGCTGCCGTCCAGTGAACAGGACGGTGTCTCCCTGGCGCAACAAAGCGCGCAAGGATGCTGAGAGGGAAGGCGAGGTCCGGGCGAGTACAAGTCATCAGGTACATGAGGCAACCCACAAGCTCTGCGTAGGGACCACTAGGCTCAAACGGCTCGTTTGGAAAGGGACCAGTGAGTCTGTGGTCAACAGCTAGAGGTGTGCGCTGTACGGTGGAGTGCTGAAGCCCGAACCGCTGAAGGACCTGCTGCACCATGTGTGACTGTGAGAGTGTAATGGTGCGAGCGGCTCTGTCCCTGGTGATCTGCAGGCCAAGGTAGTGGCGCAGTTCACCAAGATCAGTGCACGTGTGTCTCTTCTGCAGTTCGGACTTCACGTCTGCCAAAGCAACCCTGTCCGGAGTGGCGAAAACGAGGTCGTCGACGTAAACAAGAACAAAGAACGGTGTGGAGCCACGACGAACGAACAGCGACGGGTCGGCAGAAGACGGCTGGAACCCAAGGTCAGAGAGGGTAGAACGCAGAGTGTCGTGCCACTCACGAGGGGCCTGGCGAAGACCGTAAACAGGTCGCCTCAGCCTCCACTGGGTCCCAGGAGGGAAGGTGCCAGTGAAGGCCGAGGGACGACGCAACCAGACCTCCTCGTGTAGGCTGCCCTGAAGGAAAGCAGTGGAGAAGTCAAGAGAGTGTAACTCGTAGTCTCTCTGTGCTGCTACGTGTAGTAACACCCGAAGAGTGGTCATCTTCGGGGTAGGTGCGAAGGTCTGAAAGAAGTCAACTCCCTCGCGCTGACTGAAACCTCTAGCCACGTAGCGCGCCTTGAAGACCGGGGGAGATCCCGGTGGCCGCTTCACCCTGTAGATCCACATGCCGTCGACTACGTTCGCCCCCGGGGGGGGAACCTCATCGACGTAGGTGCCTGTGGATCTGTAGGAGGCCATCTCTGCGTCCATGGCAGCTCTCCACTGAGAGGCCCAAGGCCCTGACACTGCCTCAGCGTAAGTGCGAGGAGTCGGAATGTCAAGGGCGTCGGGGTCACCCTCAGGGGCGAGGAGCATGGCACAGAGATGAGGGGAAGCGGCCGCCAGGAACTCTAGCTCAAACTGCCTGTCCTCTAGGGCGTCACGGCCAAGGGCAGACACACCCCCGACGGCCAGAGGACTGGTAGGAGGAGCAGCCACAAGTGTGGTGGCGTAGTCAAGGCGGCGGGTAGAGGCAAAGTCAGTAACTGCGGCAGTAAGAGCGGACACAGAGGACACAGAGGCACGAGGGTGAGTAACAAGAGAGGCGAGAACACGAGAGAGAACAGGACGGTACGTGCGGTAGTAGTCAGTGACAGGAGTAGGGAGCGACACAGTGAGGGCCGACTCAGGAGGAGACGGAAGCACAGACTGAGACGGACGAGGTGGACTAGAAAGAAGGAAGGCAGTACGAAGGTCAGTGAAGGGAACAGGAGACGAGGGACGAGCACGAGGGGAGCGACGAGTAGCCCAAGAACGAGACGGAGGAGAAGAGGACAAGGGCGGAGAACTGGGGAAAACAGCGGGGGAGGAGTCAGGAGGAGGAAACGTGGGACCGTAGACAGGAGGAGAGGCGGAGGAGGGAGGAGAAGGGGAGGGGAGACCAAGGATCCGAAGACCCGAGACAGGAGGAGGAAGTGGCTGCTGCTGCTGCGGCTGCGACTGCTGCTGCTGCGGACGCGGCTGCTGCTGGGACTGCTGCTCCTGCGGGTCCAGCTGCTGCTGCTGCTCCTCCAGCCGCTGTAACTCCCTCTCCTCTCTCTCCAACGCCAGCTGATCGTCACGGGCACGGCGAACACGAGCCTGGTGCCTAGTCGGGTAGGGGTGGGGGGGCGGAGTAGTGTCCGAAGCAGCGGCAGCTCCAGAGTCCACTCCAGAAGAACTAGGCTCACCACCCCCAGAGGCAGCACTAACACCAGCTCCAGACCCAGGCTCACCTGAACCCAAAGGAGGCGCACCCTCACCCCCAGACGCAGCACCCCCAGTGTCCGCGCGGCCAGCACCAGCTCCCGGACGACAAGCGTCCTCTGCACCCACCTGGTCAGCTCCAACCCCAGCTCCAACTCCAGCACCCCCAGAACCAGAAACTCCAGTGCCAACTCCAGCTCCAACTCCAGCTCCAACTCCAGCTCTAACTCCAGCACCCCCAGAACCAGAAACCGGTACAGGAACAGGCGTCGCACCAACCTCTCGAGAGCTAGCACCAGCGGCACGCTGCGAGGAGGACTGTGGGGAGGGAGGCTGTACCGGAGGGGCTACCGAAGGAGGAGGGGTAGCCTGGGACACACCTGACGGGGCTGGACCAGGGGGGGGAGGCTGTACCGGGGGAGCAGGAGGGGGAACGGCAGTCACGAAGAGGGGGGGAGGAGGAACCGGGAGACCTCGACTGGGGTACCTGACGTAGTACGGAGTGGACTCCTCGAAACGGACGTCACGGGAGTCAAAGAACCGGTGAGAGGGAGGGTGGTAAAAGGTGAAGTCAGAGGAGTCCTCAGGGAAACCAAGGAAGACACAGGGGACGGCACGAGGCGAGAGCTTGTCCGCGGAGGTGTCGCGGACAAGAGCCAAGCACCCCCAGACACGAAACCGCGACGCAACACCAGGGAACCCTGTCCAAAGACTGGTCGGTGAAACCTCTGGTCGAGAGACACGTGGCCAGAGGTTCAGCTGGTGCGCGGCGTACCTGACCGCGTAGGGCCACAGAAAATGGGGGGCACAGGCGTGAGTCAGGGAGGTGCGGGCGATCTCCATGACCAGGCCTATGCGGCGCTCAGCAACCCCATTCTGCTGTGGGGACTCTGGAAGCGTCCAGGACTGACGAATGCCCTGCTCGCGACAGAATCCAGCGAGAATGCCGGAGCGAAACTCACCCCCACGGTCGGAGTGGAGACAGCTGACACGACGACCACGAGTGTCCTCGGTGGTGAGCAACCACCTGATCAGCGTAGAAGTCACCTCAGACTTCTTCGCCAGAGGGAACACTGTGGTGTAGCGGGAGAAGTCGTCAACGACCACCAGAAAGTAACGCTCACGCTCAGGGCCTAGACGAGGGGCTGGGCCCCAGACGTCCAAGTGAAGCGTCTCAAAAAGGCTCGGTGGCCGGACGAAGGGAGGAGGAGTGAGGGGTGGCGCGCAGCCTACCCTCGACGCAGGGACGACACGGCGGCGCAGGCGAAGGCGGCAGCGACGGCAAGACACGTGGGAGGCCTAGGACAAGACGCTGACTAGACATAGCGCGCAGACGTGGAAGGGACGGGTGCCCCATCCGGTGGTGCCACAGAACGGTGGGGTGGGCAAGCGACCGGCAGGAGCACGACGCAGCGACTGGAACAGACGGAGGAACCTGACACGACACAGACACCTGGGGGGACGTAGCAACCTGGTGAGACGCAGGGACCCGAACGGGGGGGGGAACCGGGGGCAGTGGCAGTAGGGGGGGCTGCTGGTGCGGCCGCTGGTGCTGCTGCTGCTGCTGCTGCTGCGGCTGCGGCTGCTGCTGCTGCTGCGGCTGCTGCTGCGGCGCACGCGGGCCAGTGTGAAGAGTGTAGAGACCCGAGCCCGGCTCAGCAGTAAAGGTAGCAAGAGGCTGGTAAGAGTCTCCGTCAACACACACCGCAGTCTCTCCAGAAGGCTCAAACCACACACCCACGTGCTGGCTCACGAGGGGTCGCACGCCCACCAAGTTCCGGGAGAACGAGGGGACGTGAAACCCAGTGAGAGACCCGGAGGGAGCAGCAGGACACGGTAAAGTGGTAGTGTGACGTGCAGTGACTGGTCCCGTAGTGGGATCAGCCAACGCTACAGAAACAGGCGCAGGAAGTGGTGTAAGTGTCGTGCTGTCCCGAAAGAAGCAGTGGGAGGCTCCAGAGTCCAGTGTGAACGACAGCGAAGCGTCCTCTGAGGTAGTCGCTGGTCTAGAGTCTACACAAGTACCTACACTAGCAACAGGCAACTCAGCAAGACTAGCACCTAAGCTAACAACACCAGAGTAAACAGAGTCAGAAACACTAGAGTCAACAACAGCATACATAGCATGAGGAGCACTAATCAGATCAACTAACTGCTCAGCAGACATGCCCCACAGAGCGGAGCCGTAGCGCTGAACCAGAGGAAGCCAGTCAGGAGCAGGACCGCCAACCCCGTAGGTCAACCGGACCGTGTCAGTGAGCTGAGCAAAGCACTGACCAGGGGGGTGAAAGCGGCCACAAGGGTGGCCCCGACGAGGACCTGTCTGAACCTGGTAGGGGCAGGGAGGGTAAGCAGCACCGCGCTGGGGCTGACGCAGCCCCGACCCCGGAGCCAGCTGCTGACGCTGCTGCTGCTGAGGCTGCTGGGAGGAAAGGGGCTGCTGCTGCTGCTGAAGGTGCTGCTGACGCTGAGCCTGGTACCACGCCGCTGCTCCACCTAGCGGGGCCGACAGTACAGGAGGCGACTGACGAGCTCGAGGGTCGCTGCCACCAGCAGGTGCAGTGGAGTCACCGGCCGCTGCACGAGGGGTCTCTCCAGACGCTGCACTCCCACCACCGCCAGTCGCAACAGCACCCCCACTACCTCCGCTACCTCCGCCTCCACCTCCACCGGAACCACCTTTCTTGCCCCCCCTGCCGCGGGACCGCGACGCAGTCGTAACAGCAGCCGCAGTCGCGTCAGTAGCGGCAGTGGCAAGAGAGGCAGTGAAGGTGGGTAACTGCGGGACTGTGCACCCGTGGAAGAGTGGGGGGGATACAGTACCAGAGGCGGCAGCTACCGAACGAAGGTTGCTCTCGACATCCTTGAGTGCAGACTCAAGGACCTCGATAGTCAGCTCACTAGGGTGCTTCAGCAGAAGCGCGTAACGAACGGAGGCAAGGCGGTCAGGGAGGCTAGTGGCGATGAAATAGACAGTAATCGCCATGGGGGGAGGAAGCAGTGCAAGCTGTGCCTCAGTGCAAGCAGCGCGGTAACTAGCGTCAAGCGAGCGGAGGTGAGCGATCAAGTCAGCAGAGCGCTCAAACGAGGCAAGATCAGGAAACAGGAACGGGAGGAAAAGACGGCCGAGAGAGACAGTAGCGGGAGTAGAGTAGCGGGCCTTAATCGCAGTGAGGTACGCAGCAGCGGTGCGAACCTGAGTAAAGTGGACCTCCTCGGACTCAGGGAGGAGGCTGCTGAGTGCGATGCAGGCCGCAGCGTCACGCGACGTCCAAGCCGTCCGGTCAGCGCGCTGACGGGCAAAGCGAGCCGTAGCAGCATCGTCAGGAGCAGGGCCTAAAGCTGTAGGCTCGGGGGGCTCGGGGAGGTCACCAGTAGCGTGTGACCAGAGGGTCTCGCCCCCCTGGACCTGACTCTCTAACAGACGACGAGCGCGAAGAAGCCAGACGGAAAAGTCAAGGGGTCTACCGTCGGCGTCGAAACGAAGAACTCGCGGAGTCGCCATAGTGAGAACGAACAGGCGAGTAACAACCGGGGGGGGAAGAGGACTCAGTCGCAGCGGAAGAGTGGGCTAGGACGACGGGCCAAGACGTAGGGTAGGGCAACGGGCCAGGGCCTAGGGTAGGGCGACGGGCCAGGGCCTAGGAAGGGCGACAGGCCAGGGCCTAGGGAGGGCGACGCGACGGGGGAAAGGTCAGGGCGACGCGACGGGGCAGGGCGACGCGACGGGACAGGGCGACGCGACGGGGCAGGGCGGCGCGACGGAGCAGGGCGACGGGACAGGGCAGGGCGACGCGACGGGGTAGGGCGACGCGACGGGACAGGGCGACGGGACGGGACAGGGCGACGGGACAGGGCGACGGGACAGGGCGACGCGACGGGACAGGGCGACGGGACGGGGGGGGGTAACAGGCAGGCGCGACGCGACGGGGGGAACGGGCGCGACGCGACGGGGGGGAACGGGCGCGACGCGACAGGGGGAACGGGCGCGACGCGACGGGGGGAACGGGCGCGACGCGACGGGGGGAACGGGCGCGACGTGACAGGGGGAACGGGCGTGACGCGACGGGGGGGGAACAGGCGTGACGCGACGGGGGAGATGACGCTAGGCTCGGTACTAGGCGCGGTAACTACGAAACTGGTACGAACGAGAGGTAGGATCAGGCTCGGGAGGTACGAACGGAGCACGGAGGAACGGGATCCCACAGGATCCTAACCTAGCTGATACCATGTCAGAATGAGGAATGAGTGTTGCATTGATGTTGGTTGGGGTACATATGACAAACCCTAACTTCTGTACCCCCTAAGACAAACCTCACTACAGGCTACAACATTTGACAATATGCGCCCGGACCCGGATACAGGTGCTAGCTAGCACACCATAAGAATTAATGTCACACAATCTCGAGAACATTAAGCACAGCACCCAGCAAGGATGTGGCTGAGCCACCTGGTACAGTACTTTAATACAACGCATTCATCATATTATGATGACAAGACAAACCATGTGGTCACGCAGCCATGGCCAACTCTCCCACAAGCAGCACTGCTGGAAACTTGGGCGCCATCACATCAGTAAAACTCAACATTCATCTGCAAAAGCAAAGAAAAGAGAGCACGAGATGAAACGTATCAGAAATGATGGTCCAGCATAAAGTCCAGTCAGGAATGACTAGCTTCTCTCCCTCCTCGCCCCCTCTCCCTCACTCCTTCCCCCACCTCTGCTCCATCCCCTCCCCTCCCTCCCTTTTTCCCCTTCCCCTTCCCCCCATCCGCTCCCTCCCCTTCCCCCTTCCCCTCTTCCCGTCCCCACACGACTCTCCCCCATCCCCCCTTCTCCTCAAATATACTAGTACTTGCCTGTGTGCGTGCACATTGATAAAAGGAGACTTCTGGGCATCCGCAGCTGTGAATGTGCAGGGGGCACGGGACAGAGAAAAAAGAGCACGAGAGGGAAAGTGAGGGATGCGGAATTGAAAAGCTGTCCGGGTATAGGGAACTAATGCACAGTCTTCATTTGCCTCTCTGCACAACAGCACGGTGATGGATGTGTAAACGAGAACAGGGTGTGTAAGGGAGGCATTGGGCCATGAATGGAGAAGGCAGGGAAGAAGAGGAGGACGAAAGAACGGTTGATGGGTAGGAGAAGAGTGTGTTTAGAAACGGGCAGGGAAGGGGAGGAGGGAGGCAGGCAGAGGTTGATGGTCAGGAGAAGAGTGCTGGCAGGGGATGGCCATGGAACTATGAGATGGCATGGGATGACGAGATGGCACGAAATGGTGACATGTCACGGGATGGTGACGTGGCACGGAATGGTGACAGAGCACAGGGTAGCGGCTTGGTACGAGATGACAAGATGAATAAAGCGTGTAAAGGGTACGACATCGCAAGCGTCTGCTGTAAACCTTATTCTCCGCAGCGTTAGGGTTTGCTAGGGACAACGGATCGGAGGGTGCTAGGAGTGAATGAAAGGGGGGTTGAACATTTCGAGCGACGACAACAACTAGCCAGAGAGATGAAAAGGAGAACCGCAACGGCGATGGCAGGCGTAAGCGTTAACGACGCGTAGGCTTACGGTTGAGCGACGCGGTCAGCTTCGCGACAAGGTAACCGGTCACGGCGAACCCAAAAACGAACGGCCAGTTCCGCTTGGCCTCGCTCATCGCAACCTGCGCGAGAGGCTTTCCGACAGGCATGGTGAATGGATCCGGGGATCGCGGCAGAAACAGCGGAGGGTGAAGGCGAAACGAGGACTTCGAAACGTGGTGGGTGTGGAGACAAGCGAAGCTGGTGCTGGTGGTGTGTTGCGGAAGGCGGAACGAGTAACTCATGGGGGTGGTGGTCGGAGATATGACTCAAACGCAGCAGTTCAGGATGTCAATGACCTACACTAGCTCTTATAGAACAAATAAGCTATGCACACTGGATCTCAAGGCTGAACTGACAATGTAGAGCATGAAAATGTTCCAATATAATAACATTCCACTACACATCACAATATAGAGTAGGATATTACTTCAACTCCCAACGAGCAAACACGAATGATTTTTTTTTTCTAATACGCCTGGGACGCCCGCGAGCCACTACCAGCTCGCCGACCCCGCCCCTCCCTTCCTGTCCCCCCCTCCCCCGTGCCCCTTGCACCCACCCTAGGCGGGTACCCCTCCTCACCCCTCCCCCTCCCCGTCGGCGCCGGCCGATCTGCCGACGCATTGCTCTGCCGTCTCGCACTGCTCCCCGACTGCTGACTGAACGCCGCACTTGACCCCGAACTCGAACCCGAAAACGTCCGGTTGAGATTCCCGGGGGTGCCTCTTGGGGTGCTGATAGAGGCAGGCGGGGCGGTGTTGGGGGTGTAGACTGCGGGCGGCGCGGCGGGGCGGGCGGGGAGGGTTTCGACGACTTGGAGTTCTTCTGGGGGAGGCTCTATCTGGACCTTGCCTGTGAAGCAGAATACGTTAACCTTGGTGCGGCGCAGCTCATAAGGGAGCAGGTCGGAGCTGATGTTGTCCGCCATGACCTGGTGAGCGGGCAGAGGGAGAGGGGAGGGAGATGGGAGGAAACAGGGGGCAGTGAGGACTTGGAGTGTGGCAGCTCGTAGGGCAGCAGGTGGGAGCTGATGTTGTCCGCCATGACCTGGTCAGATGGGGGCGGGGTGAGAAAGGGGAGGGGTGAGAAGGGGCGGAGTGGGAGGGGGGAGAGGAACAGGGGGGAAAGGAACAGAGGGGTTGAGGCAGAACCGGAAGGGGGGTGCAGCAGCTCGTAGGGCAGCAGGTCGGAGCTGATGTTGTCCGCCATCACATGGTGCCATGGGGGAGGGGAGACGGGAAGAAACACGGGGCGGTGAGATGAGGACATGGAAGAAAGAGAAAGGAGAAGGGAAGAAAATAGTGATAGTTTTACACACCTCACTGCCACTACTCTTATCCATCCTCTTGCGACATCCCTCCCCCCACCCCCCTCTTCCCCCCCTCTTACCTTGAGGTCAGCAGCGGTCTGCGGGTGGTTGTCGCGCTCCTCACTGTCAGCCCTGGCGCGCGCGTTGGCGGGGCGAGCAGCCTCCTGCTGCAGCGCCTGCAGCGTGCGCTGCAGCAGCATCTCGCGCAGCTGGAACAGAATCTCCTCCAGTGCTGGCGACGAGAAGGGGTGCAGCACGGTTTCAAAGTAGTCCAGCTGGGTGGAGAGAGGTTGCGGGTTGGGGGGGAGGGTGGGTTGTGTGCAAGGGGAGGAGGACTTGAAGAAAGGAGAAGAGGAATGGGCTGGTGACTAAGGCTAAGACAACACCACTGCTGTTGTGGCATTAGAGTTGACTCAGGAGTTTCAGCAGCAGCTGGCATGAGGCGGCATACCAGTGACAGCTGGCAGAGAGCAGCACAAACCTCAAGGGAGAGCTGGCAGAAGGCGTTGGCGTCGAGGCGTTGCAGGTCCTCGTGTTGGTACGCCACCTGCTGCAGCGCGTCCATCAGCCCCTCCGCTAGCGTGTTGATCGCCTTGTCCACAAACGGCCGGCACCCCACATGCACCTGGTGTGTGGGGTGTGGTGGAATGCGGTGGAGTGCAGTGTGGGGGATGGGGCATGGGGCATGTGGTGCTGCAGGTCCTCGTGTTGGTACGCCACCTGCTGCAATGCGTCCATCAAGCCTTGTGCTAAAGTGTTGATGGCCTGCTCCACAAACGGCCGGCATCTCACATGCACCTGGTGTGGGGTGGTGTGTGGTGGTGTGCAGTGTGGGGTATGGGGTATGAGGTGTGGGGTATTGGAAGATGGGGCATGGGACAGGTTATGGCTGGTGCAATGCGTCCATTAGCCCCTCCGCTAATGTGTTGATCGCCTTGTCCACGGACGGTCGGCACCCCACGTGCACCTGGTGGTGTGCAGTGTGGAGGATGGGGTGCGGGATGTGGGGCGCGGGGCACGGAAAATGGGACAGGTTATGGATGCTGCAGCGCGTTCATCAGGCCCTCTGCTGGCGTGTTAATGGCCTCGTCCTCAAACGGGTGCGATGTGTGGGGTGGTGTGCAGTGAAAGGCACATGGTATGTGGCATTCAGCACTCAATATAAATCAATGCACTATTCCAAGCCACCTGGGCCACTATTGATATTGGAGGTTGCGCACATAGCATACGCAGTAACTTTGACAAGTGCTGACAACAGCATAAAGAAGCCCTGACCTCAGCATGGACAGCTGCTGACCTCAGCATGGACAAATGCTGACCTCAGCATGGACAAGTGCTGACCTCAGCATGGACAAGTGCTGACCTCAGCATGGACGGCCACAAGAGGGTGCATAAGCTCGAGAGCCGAATCCCGCAGCCCCTGTTGGGTGTGAGGGAGGCGAGGGGGAGGGGGAGTGGGAGGGGTGAGAGGAGGGGAGATGGGGGAGAGGAGGGGAGATGGGGGAGAAGAGGGGAGGGGAGGAGAAGGGAGATGAGAGGGAGACGAGAGAGGAGGGAAAGAGAGTGTGGGGATGGGACGAAAGGCTCAGGGAACACAAGGAAGGAAGAGGAAACGAGGAGAGAGACACAGATGCACGGGCATCAGTGAGCAGGCAGAAGTCAGCAGGGAGGCAGGGCAGTGGTGGACGAGCCGCCATGGCCTGCCCATGAGGTCCACAAGCAGAAAAGTGAACACCTGGGGACAGCGAGCTCAGATGGGTGGTGGCGTTGAGGGTGATGCAGCACCTCGTGAAGGGGTCACAGCAACCAACAGCTCACCCGGACAGGCGGGGCAGTGGCCCACGACGTGCCGTCTTCCAGAAAGTACTTGATGACAGCGAAGCCGAGGTGGTTGGCCTTGATGGCGATGTACTGGTCGCCCAGCCACGCCTCCAGCTCCTCAAACACAATGGAACAGCAAACAAGCATGAACTTGCAGCAGAGCAGCATTAAGCCTACCCTGACTGGAGGAGCAGTGGCCCACGACGTGCCGTCCTCCAGGAAGTATTTGATGACAGCGAAGCCGAGGTGGTTGGCCTTGATGGCGATGTACTGGTCGCCCAGCCACGCCTCCAGCTCCTCAAACACGCGCTCCACCTCCCCCAGCACGCCTCTCAACTCCGCCAGCTGCTGCTGCTGCTGGTGCTGCGGCTGCACCTGCCGGTAGGCTGTTGCACTCACCATCTCCAGCTCCACACTGGCGGTTAAGGGATAAGAGCGGAGACATGGGGGGTGTTGAGTTGGACAGAGCATCTTGAAGCCTCTGCTGCTGTTGCTGCTCTGCTCTGCTAGTTGTTGCTGCTGCTGGTGCTGCAGCTGCATCTGCCAGTAGGCCGTGGCACTCACCATCTCGAGCTCCACACTGGAAGAAGGGAAGCGAGGGGACACAGGGGAGGTTGTTGAGAAGGGCAGAGCATCTCGAATCCCCTGATGCTGCGGCTGCACCTGCCGGTACGCTGTTGCACTCACCATCTCCAGCTCCACACTGGGGGACAGGAGGCAAGGGGGCATAGGGCGGCTGAAAGGATGCAACCACAGGGGGAAATGGTGCTGTGGCCGCAGGTGTGGCTGCAGACGTTGGTACGTTGTGGCACCTAAATAACAGCAATAACAATAACAACACTAACAGCAAAGAGATGACGGGGATACAGGAGCCTGGATGAGAAATGCTTTTCATGCACTCCACTTGCAGGAATTTAACCACAGGGAGGTGATTCAATTGACGAGATAGAAAGCGGGTACAGACCAACAAGCGCACCTGAATGCACACCTGAAAGCACATCTGAGAGCATTATCGTACCTGTAGGGGTTGAGCCAGAGCAAGGTGAATTTATCGGCAAGGTAGGGGGCGAGCACGGAGCGACAGAAGCCGCAGTTGCTGAGCAGCATGAGCAGCCGCTGGTCCGCTGTTGTCAGCTCCTCCCCCACCTGTGCGAGCGCACACACAGATGCACATGCACACAGGATGATGAGAGTGCTGCCATGCGGACAGGCAGGGAAGGCATGCCTGTCGGCGTGCCTCCTCCCCATCAGCCAATGCGCTCGCATGCGAGGAAACAACTCCAGCTATATTCCTATCGCTCACATCCCAAGACCTTTCCATCCCAATCCTCACCATCCCCGCTATAAGCCTCACCATCCCCGCTATAAGCCTCACCATCCCCGCTATAAGCCTCACCATCCCCGCTATAAGCCTCACCATCCCCGCTATAAGCCTCACCATCCCCGCTATAAGCCTCACCTTGAGCCCCACATAGGGCTCCGCCGGGATGTCATCGGGATTGGCCGACGGCACCGCAGCAGCAGGGGGAGCAGGAGCAGCCGCCCCGTCCCCTCCGCCCTCTTTCCCGCCCTCCGCCCCTGCCTCCCCTGCTCCCTCAGCGGCACCGCTGGTGGCAGTAGCATCAGGGGCGGTGGTGGTGATGGCCGTCTGTGATAGCTTTGTGAGGGCGTCTGAGGCGGGTGGAGGGGGAAACGGGGGATGAGGAATGTATTTGACATGGAATAACATTTGGCAAGTAGCATCAGGGGCGGTGGTGGTGATGGCTGTCTGGGATAGCTTCGTTAGGGCGTCTGTGGCGGGTGGAGGGGGAAACAGGGGAAAGGAATTTACTTTGAAAGGGCATCACAACTGGCAAGCAGCATCAGGGGCGGTGGTGGTGATGGCTGTCTGAGATAGCTTTGGAACGACTTAAATTCGCTTCTAAATAGGCCTACCAACACTGCTCATGGCGGCAGCATGAGCAATAGCAGTCGTGACAGCTCCCTGTAAAAGGTCACTCAAGGTGTCTGCCTGGCATTGCACCGCTGCACCGCACTGCATTGTACTGCATACCACCGCACTCACTGCAGGCATCTTGGATGACGGAGTCGTACATGAGGCGGATGGCCTCCTCCACCTCATCCGCTGTTGAATAGCCCGGCAGCTGTTGCTCACTGCACCTCATTGCACTGCAGTACACCGTATCGTACCGCACTGCGCCGCATACGGCCGCACTCACCGCAGGCGTCTTGGAAGGCCTGAGCGAAGGTGTCTCAACGGAGTCATACATGAGGCGAATGGCCTCCTCCACCTCATCCGCTGTTGAATAGCCCGATAGCTGCCGGGCAATGCACTGCATTGCACCGCACCGCACTGCACCCCGTTGCACCGCATTGTACCGCACTGCACTGCACTCACCGCAGGCGTCTTGGAAGGCTTGGGCGAAGGTGGTCTTGACAGAGTCGTACATGAGGCGAATGGCCTCCTCCACCTCATCTGCTGTTGGGAACCCCGGCAGCTGCCGTGCACTGGGGGGGATCAGCTCCTCCTCGTCTGCCATGTCCGTCAGCACTCTGAGACCAGAGAGAGACCAGGGGAAAGGGGAGCCGACAGGAGGCGTCAGGTAAAGGCACGGGCAGCTGCTGTGCACTGGGGGGGATGAGCTCCTTATCGTCTGCCATGTCTGTCAGCAGTCTGCGGAGAGGGAGGGGGAGGGGAGAGGAAGAAGAAGAGTGATTGAACTCAGTCAAAGCAAATCACAGGAAGCTGCTGCGCACTGGCCATGTCCGTCAGCCACCAGTGAGAAGGCAGAGAGAGACGAAGGGCGAGATCAATCAAAAACGAGTTTCAATAACAGGAAGTTACGGCAAAGATGCGGCACACAACTCACGCGGTGACGTGCTCAAAGGCATTGGCGAGGCGGTCTCGGAGGCGCAGGGGGAAGGAGGAGATGGCAAAGGGCGACCCCATGCGCAGTGTGGACGGCACGGGGCGCCAATCCTCGTCCGCCACGAGCTCTGCTGAGATGCCGCGCGTGAGCAGACACACGCGGCTCACGAAGCGCGACGTGATCTCCACCCGCAGCTGGTGCAGCGCTTGCACTGGTGGGGGGAAAGGAGGGGGGGAGAGGAGGGGGGAAGAGGGGGGAGGAGGGAGGGGAATTGAGGGGGGTATGGCGAGGGTGGGGGGTGGGGCGAGCCCATGCGCATGGGGCACGGGGCGAGGGCGGAGGGCACGGGGCGAGGGCGGAGGGCACGGGGCGAGGGCGGAGGGCACGGGGCGCCAGTCCCCGTCCGCCACGATCTCGGCTGAGATTTCCACGCGTAGCTGGTGCAGCACTTGCACTGAAAACGCAGGCGAGAGGGACAAGCAACGGGAGAGGGACAAGCAACGGTGTGCAGCTGGCTGGCAGCTCTGCTGAGATGCCGGGAGTGAGGGGACCCCGCTCACGAAGCGAGTCGTGATCACCCGCAGCTGGTGCAGCGCTTGCACTAGTGAGGATGGTGGAGGAAACGGGGTAAATGAGCATAAGGACTTGCATGAGATCGATAGGAAATTTGTGATGGTGGAAGGAGTGCTACAGGGCAGCGTATACACCTGCCTCGAGTGGTGTCAGGTGGATTACTCCCTTGCATCTCACCTGCTTGTGGCGGGGCGTTGTCGCTGACAGCAAGAGCAGCACAGGCGTGAGCCACCTGCTCCACTGCCCGGCGCATGTGCGGCCTCAGCGTGCTTGCTGCCTCCAGCTGTGTGAAGGCCGCTTGCACCTGCAGAGAGGGGAGGGACAGAGGCGGATAACTTGAATGAAATGGATGAAAGGCTGGAAAAGAGTGAGGACGAGACAAGAAGGCCAGGTCGAGGAGAAAAACAGAGAAATAAAGGAGGGAAGGGCGAGTTGAGCTGGCTGAAACGGACAGACATGGGGTGCTGTGCTGGGCGGATTCGGAAAGGAATGCACATACCTTGCTCTCATACACGCCCATGATGCCCAGCACCATGAGCAGCACCTCGTCCTCTGAGTGCTTCGTGTATCGGCCCCCCTCCTCTCCCCCCCGCCCCCGCCAGTGCCCGCCCTGGCCACGTGCATGCCCCGCACCCTGGGGGGGTGGAGAGGCGTGGTTGAGGAGTGGGTGATGGGGTGTAAGAGATGAATGGGGACACTGGGCTGGGATGGGGCGTGATGAGTGGAAGCAGACGGGGGCGGAAATGAAATCAGAGAGGAGACGAAGGAGGAACAAGACTACCCCCCTCTTTTTGGCAATTCTCTACCCTCTTTTTGGTCCGTCTCTACGCTCTTTTTGGCAATTCTCTACCCTCTTTTTGGTCCGTCTCTACGCTCTTTTTGGCAATTCTCTACCCTCTTTTTGGTCCGTCTCTACGCTCTTTTTGGCAATTCTCTACCCTCTTTTTGGTCCGTCTCTACGCTCTTTTTGGCAATTCTCTACCCTCTTTTTGGTCCGTCTCTACGCTCTTTTTGGCAATTCTCTACCCTCTTTTTGGTCCGTCTCTACGCTCTTTTTGGCAATTCTCTACCCTCTTTTTGGTCCGTCTCTACGCTCTTTTTGGCAATTCTCTACCCTCTTTTTGGTCCGTCTCTATGCTCTTTTTGGCAATTCTCTACCCTCTTTTTGGTCCGTCTCTACGCTCTTTTTGGCAATTCTCTACCCTCTTTTTGGTCCGTCTCTACGCTCTTTTTGGCAATTCTCTACCCTCTTTTTGGTCCGTCTCTACGCTCTTTTTGGCAATTCTCTACCCTCTTTTTGGTCCGTCTCTACGCTCTTTTTGGCAATTCTCTACCCTCTTTTTGGTCCGTCTCTACGCTCTTTTTGGCAATTCTCTACCCTCTTTTTGGTCCGTCTCTATGCTCTTTTTGGCAATTCTCTACCCTCTTTTTGGTCCGTCTCTACGCTCTTTTTGGCAATTCTCTACCCTCTTTTTGGTCCGTCTCTACGCTCTTTTTTGCAATTCTCTACCCTCTTTTTGGTCCGTCTCTACGCTCTTTTTGGCAATTCTCTACCCTCTTTTTGGTCCGTCTCTACCCTCTTTTTGGCAATTCTCTACCCTCTTTTTGGTCCGTCTCTACGCTCTTTTTGGCAATTCTCTACCCTCTTTTTGGCAATTCTCTACCCTCTTTTTGGTCCGTCTCTACCCTCTTTTTGGCAATTCTCTACCCTCTTTTTGGTCCGTCTCTACCCTCTTTTTGGCAATTCTCTACCCTCTTTTTGGTCCGTCTCTACCCTCTTTTTGGCAATTCTCTACCCTCTTTTTGGTCCGTCTCTACGCTCTTTTTGGCAATTCTCTACCCTCTTTTTGGCAATTCTCTACCCTCTTTTTGGTCCGTCTCTACCCTCTTTTTGGCAATTCTCTACCCTCTTTTTGGTCCGTCTCTACCCTCTTTTTGGCAATTCTCTACCCTCTTTTTGGTCCGTCTCTACCCTCTTTTTGGCAATTCTCTACCCTCTTTTTGGAGATTCTCTACCCCCCCGCGAGATGCCCGCCCCCCCCCATTTCTCCCTCCCGCCCAACGCACCGTGCCGGTGCCATCCTTGGAGGTGGCGAAGCTGGCAAACTTGCCTGAGAAGATGGAGCGCGTGAGGCGCCAGAAGGTAAGCTTTCATCTTAAAGCCCCACTCACGGCTGAGGATGATCCTCCTCTACACCTGTACCCCGCTTTCCCCTCCTACCCCCCCTCAAACGCACCGTGCCTGTGCCGTCCTTGGAGGTGGCGAAGCTGGCAAACTTCCCCGAGAAGATGGAGCGCGTGAGGCGCCAGAAGCGCGGCACGTGCTGCTGCAGGATGGCGGTGAGGCGCACGATGAGCCGTGTGTGCGCCTCGTCAAACGCCTCCCCATCCATCAGCCCGTCCGATGAGTCGTCGGCTGCCGGCTGCCCTAGCAGTAGTGAGAGGTCCACATCCTCCTGAGAATAGGAATGGGAAAGTGGGTGCGGGTTTGTTCATGAGGTATGAGCCGCGTGTGCGCCTCGTCAAACGCCTCCCCGTCCATCAGCCCGTCCGATGAATTGTCCGCTGCTGGCTGGCCAAGCAGCAGCGAGAGATCAACGTCCTCCTGAGAATAGGAATGGGAAACACAGAACAGGTGGGGGGGTCGCAACAAGGTTAGCCACAGCATGCACCCCTCTCTGGTTCGTCAAACGCCTCCCCGTCCATCAGCCCGTCCAATGAGTTGTCCACTGCTGGCTGGCCTAGCACCAGGGAGAGATCAACGTCCTCCTGAGAATGGGTATGGGAAACACAGAACAGGCCCATCATCGGCCTCCCTCTTCTCGTGCTGCTCCTTCAATGCGTCAACACGGCTCTCATGCCTTCGGAGGACGTCTCATAACCCGCCCAGCCCATCAACCCACCCATCCACCCCCCCACCCCCACCCACCCACCCACTCACTCACCCCCGCGTTGGACTCCTGTTGGATCTGCCGCCACCTGGCCTCGGCCTCCCTCTTCTCGTGCTGCTCCTTCTTTAGCGCGGCAACGCGGCTCTCATGCTGCTGCACACACGCCTCCAGCAGCCCTCTGATGCGCCGGTCCTGCATCGTCACGTGATGCCAGATGGGGTCGCTGTCCGGCTCCAGCTCCAGCAGCAGGCGAATGGCGTTCTCCACCTGAGGGGGGCAAGGGGCGGGGGAATTAGAGGGAGCAAGAGAAGAGAGGCCTTGAGAGTGCATCGTTCCTGCATGGTCACGTGGTGCCAGATGGGGTCGCTGTCCGGCTAAAGAGGGGAGAGAGGGGAGAGAGGAAAGAGAGGGGAGAGAGGGGAGAGAGGGGAGAGAGGGGAGAGAGCGGAGAGAGGGGAGAGAGCGGAGAGAGGGGAGAGAGGGGAGAGAGCGGAGAGAGGGGAGAGAGGGGAGAGAGCGGAGAGAGCGGAGAGAGGGGAGAGAGGGGAGAGAGCGGAGAGAGGGGAGAGAGGGGAGAGAGCGGAGAGAGGGGAGAGAGGGGAGAGAGCGGAGAGAGGGGAGAGAGGGGAGAGAGCGGAGAGAGGGGAGAGAGGGGAGAGAGCGGAGAGAGGGGAGAGCACCTACCTGCAGTGCCTACCTGCGCCTGGTCGGCGGTGGGGTCGTCCATCTTGGCAAAGAGCACCTCGTGGAACTCCTTAAAGCCCTCCCACCCATGCAGCCCCATGTGCCCCATCTCATGTGCTGCTGTGCCCTCACCTGCGCCTGGTCGGCGGTGGGGTCGTCCATCTTGGCGAAGAGCACCTCATGGAACTCCGCCACCACCTTGTGCACCTCCGCCATCACGCGCCGCAGGATGTTGGACTGCCATGGGGAGAGGGGAAGAGTAGAAGTGGCAGAGAGGGGAAAGAAGGGCGGAGCGAGTGTGAGAAGAGGCATTGGGATCTCCGCCACCACCTTGTGCACCTCCGCCATCACGCGGCGCAGGATGTTGGACTGCCATGGGGAGAGGGGATGAAGGGCGAAAAGGCAAAAAGGGAGGAGATTGACTAAAAAATGGTTGAAACTGAACTTACTTCTTAGGGTGACACATGACGCATGGGGTAAGAGATACGCACGGTGATAAGGCATGTGATGTGAAGAACGAGATTGAACAACCAAGGCCACCCACCCACCCACCTGACAAGGAAGCGAGGGGAAGAGCAACCGGTTCATTCACGCGCGCGTGTGGGTGAACTGTTGGACTGTTGGGCTTTTAGCCACTCACATACTTGTGTCCTCTTGGACGCCAGAATTGGGGTTTAGTTAGGACGGCCGGCTCTTGTGCGCAGGCAGCGAGATGGACTGTTGGGCTTTAAGCCGGCCGACTCACGTGCGCAGGCAGCGAGATGGACTTGGCCTTGAGGTACTCGTGCACGGCACGGTCGTACTCGCCGTGCTGCACGAATCCACGCATGACAGCTGGCAGGTTGAAGAGCGTGCGGAAGCGCAGCAGCAGCCCCTGCACCGACCGAATGCGGTCCACTTGCTTCTGCTCGGGGGCAAAGGAAGAGGGGAGACGGGGGAGAGGGGAGACGGGGGAGAGGGGAGATGGGGGAGATTGAAAACAATGCGAGGGGGGAGTGTGTGAACAAGGGCAGGGGGGGCATGTGGGATGGAAGGGGCGAAAGAATGCAAGAGCTCGATCGAGACACAAACAGCCTGTGAACCCATCTAATGTGTTCTACTTGCTTTCATTCTTATAGAAATACGTCAAGTAATGAATCAGAAGAGGAAGCAAAGACGTCCACAAACAAAATCTTCCTGCCTTTCGTACCTCCTGTCTGTGTGCATTCCACACCTGCTTGCCCTTCATTTAAAGCCCACCTGGCAGTCCAGCAGCTCTCTGCTTGCCCCTCACCCCACCTGGCGGTATACATGGGCAAACGAGTCGAGTTTTTACTAGACTCGTTTGAAGTACTCGAAAATACCGAGTTTCGAGTTCTGATTTTGGTAAAAAAAGCTCGTGAAAACGAGTCGATTTTTACTCGCGAGTTTAAAAAAACTCGTGAAAAACTCGGCTAGACAGGCGAGTTACCCATAACTCGCGAGTTTTTTTTCACTCACGAGTTTGTTTAACCTAGACGAGTTTTAAAAAACTGGTGCATCAAATGGTCCACCACGGGGGGGTACAAATGTCTGTTTCTGGGTTAATATGCTGCTGGAGGTGTGGCTCGCTGTTTTGGATGTGTTCCACCACTTAATCGTGAACACTAGTGCAGCTGGCGTGGCGGTGAGTAGCTTTTTTGGAAAGTGAAAGGGGGGAGGAGAGGTGGGGCTGGCTGGGTCGTTTGTGGGTGTTGACGCGTGTGGCAGTTTTCTGGGCACCCTACAACTGTTTTCGTGTGGCTGGGGTTTTAGGTTAGGGTAGTGTTTAACTTCGAGTCGAGTTTTACTTGACTCGGACGAGTTTTTTTAAGGCTCATCCAAGTTTTCAAAAAACTCGACTTTGGGGCCGAGTTTCGAGTCAGCATTTTGGCCAAAAAAACTCGACGAGTAAAACTCGACTCGACTCGTCAACGGGAAAAAACTCGTCGAAACGAGTCAAGTAAAACTCGACTCGCCATTTGCCCATGTAGCGGTCCAGCAGCTCTCTGCTTGCCCCTCACCCCACCTGGCGGTCGAGCAGGGGCTCGAAGGCGGCCTGAGTCATGTCACACACATTGCGGATGGCCACATGCATGCCCACATGCATGCCCACATGCATGCCCACATGCATGCCCACATGCATGCCCACATGCATGCCCACATGCATGCCCACATGCATGCCCACATGCATGCACACATGCATGCCCACATGCATGCCCACATGCATGCCCACATGCATGCCCACATGCATGCCCACATGCATGCCCACATGCATGCCCACATGCATGCCCACATGCATGCCCACATGCATGCCCACATGCATGCCCACATGCATGCCCACATGCATGCCCACATGCATGCCCACATGCATGCCCACATGCATGCACACATGCATGCACACATGCATGCACACATGCATGCCCACATGCATGCCCACATGCATGCACACATGCATGCCCACATGCGTGCCCACATGCATGCCCACATGCATGCCCACATGCATGCCCACATGCATGCCCACATGCATGCCCACATGCATGCCCACATCCATGCCCACATGCATGCCCACATGCATGCCCACATGCATGCCCACATGCATGCCCACATGCATGCACACATGCATGCCCACATCCATGCCCACATGCATGCCCACATGCATGCCCACATGCATGCCCACATGCATGCCCACATGCATGCCCACATGCATGCCCACATGCATGCCCACATGCATGCCCACATGCATGCCCACATGCATGCACACAGGCATGCACACATGCATGCCCACATGCATGCCCACATGCATGCCCACATGCATGCCCACATGCATGCCCACATGCATGCCTCTCCCTCATTCATACCGCACCTCACTCATACCCCACCTGGCGGTCCAGCAGGGGTCCAAAGGCGGCCTGGGCCATGTCATGCACGTTGCGGATGGCCACCAGAATCTCCTCCGTGCCGCTGTCGCTGCGCCGCTCCATCTCCCGCACCTTCTTCTCGATATCTGCACGGGAGGACGGGAGGGGGAGGGAAAGGGAGGGGGGTGAGGGAGGTGGGCGTGGTGGTGATAGCAAGTACCAACCACATCTCCATCTCGCGCACCTTCTTCTCTATGCCTGCACGGGAGGAGGGGAGGGAAGCGGGGGGACGTGGCGGGGCATGTAAGGGAGGGACGGCGATACAAGTGGTTTTGTTTGATCAGCCCCGAGAGCCACCGCTCCATCTCCCCCAGCTTGTTCGCTTTTGTGTGGGGAGGGATGGGGCGGTGTGCTTGGAGTCTCATCTCATCAAACCACCCTTCACAAGTGCCTCTCAATCTTCGTGGGGCCCAAGTTCTACTTTTTGAGTCGACTCAAAAATAGCCCCACCCAAGCCACTTTCCCACCCAAGCCACTTTCCCACCCAAGCCACTTTCCCACCCAAGCCACTTTCCCACCCAAGCCACTTTCCCACCCAAGCCACTTTCCCACCCAAGCCACTTTCCCACCCAAGCCACTTTCCCACCCAAGCCACTTTCCCACCCAAGCCACTTTCCCACCCAAGCCACTTTCCCACCCAAGCCACTTTCCCACCCAAGCCACTTTCCCACCCAAGCCATTTTCCCACCCAAGCCACTTTCCCACCCAAGCCACTTTCCCACCCAGCCCACTTTCCCACCCAAGCCACTTTCCCACCCAGCCCACTTTCCCACCCACCCACCCACCCAGCCACCCACCCACGCTGTTGGAGTGGCACACAGCACGCACGCACCTTCGATGGTGGACTTGCAGGAGACGAAGGAGTCAAAGTTCTCCTTGACGAGCGTCTTGAGCTGCTGCTGCTGGTTCTCCATGTCCGCCCCCAGCGTGCCCATGCCCGCCCTCAGTTCGTCCATTGACGTGTCGTCGTGCACGCGCCCCAGGTAGAAGGACGGGCTGAACTTGGGGCCGAACACTATGATCTTCTCTGTGGTGGGCGAGAGGGTGGAAGAGAGAGAAGAGAGGAGAGGGCGATTCAGGTCGGCCAATGACGTGTCGGGTCGTCGTGCACGCGATCCAAGTAGACCGTACAACGACGGGCTGAACTTGGGGCCAAACACGATGATCTTCTCTGTGGTGGGAGGGAGGGTGGGTGGGAGAGGGTGGACGAGGGTGGAAGAGAGGGAAGGGAGGGCAACTCAGCTCATCCATTGACGTGTCGTCATGCACTCGCCCCAGGTAAAATGACGGGCTGAACTTGGGGCCGACTACAATGATCTTCTCTGGAAGAGACAATGGGAGAGGGGAGGAGGGTGAGGGTAAGGGCGAAGACTGAGTTGCTTGATAGACCTGCCTGCCACCACCAAGTGTCGTCGTACACGCGCCCCAGGTAGACGGATGGGCTGGACTCGGGGCCAAACACTATGATCGTCTCTGTGATGGCGAGAGGAGAGGGGGGAAGGGTGAGAGGGGAGGGGGGAAGGGTGAGAGGAGAGGGGATAGACGAGAGAGGGAACCGGGAAGTGGGAGAGGAGAGAGGAATCGAAAACACACTCAGTTGCTTGACGGGAGTGCCAGCCACCATGGGTTGATTGACGCCCACCGCGGGTTGATGCCCACCGCGGGTTGACGCCCATAGTTGTTTTGCACCCGCCGTACTTCTCTCTCACCTGCCATACTCCTTCCTTCTCGACCCACCACTCTCCCCTCTCTCACCCACCACTCTCCCCTCTCTCACACCCCCCCACCCCCATCCCCCCTTGCTTACCGGCAACCACACGCCCCCCTCTCACCAACCATGCCCCCCTCTTCCACCGGCCACACTCGCCATGCCCGCCCTCTCACCGGCCATGCCCGCCCTCTCACCGGCCATGCTGCGGTCGTCAGGAACGGGGATGGTGGACGCATTGATGGCGAGACACACCTTCACGCGGTTCAGCGGGCTGACGGTTGAGGGTTGGGAGAGAGAGAGCAGGAGAAGGGGGAGAGCATGGGGGGGGGTGGGGGTTGGAGCACGACTGCCTGCCAGCAGGGGAGGCGTTGATGGCGAGACACACCTTCCCACGGTTCAGCGGCCTGGTAGACGAGACGAGTTGGTTGGGGGTGAGAGGGGAAGGAGGGGGAAGACGAGGTGAGGTGGGGAGGTGGAGAGGAGCGGGGGTGTGAGTGGGGGAGGGGGAAAGGGGGGAGGGGGAGAGAGCGGGGGATGAGCGAGCATTGATGGGAGCAGTTGAAAGCGCTGATGATCAAAGTCTTCTCATGAGAGTAAGGAGGGGAGGGCAGGGGAGGGCGGGGAAGGAGGGGCGTATGAGGTGCGAAGCAGGGAGGAGCATGGCATTCCCATATCGTATACATGTTCGCCCAAATCGCCATAGCATGTGGTGGGCGCGTTGGTGGCCCCCCCAACAATAATCATCACCCGCCCCACACCGCACCGCACCGCATCTCTCACCCGTAGCCAAGGGGGTCGATGAGCTCCGAGAGGCCGAGCCGAGTCCTTCAAGGGCAGACTTGGTGGCAGGCACGTTGGTGGCCTCCCTACCAGAGCACCCATATCTACCATCCACACCGCACCGCACCGCATCTCTCACCCGTAGCCAAGGGGGTCGTTGAGTTCGGAGAGGCCGAGTCCTTCAAGGGCAGACTTGGTGGCAGGCGCGTTGGTGGCCGACGCAAAGTCGCCCCTCAGCTCCCTCAGCTCGCGCACCTTGCGCACCAACTGGAGAGGAGTGGGAAGAGGAGGGGGGGGAGGAAGAAAGGGGGAGGTGGGAGGGGGGAGGGGTTGGAAGGGAGAGGATGAAAACAATGAGTGGCGGGCGCGTTGGTGGCCGGCGCAAAGTCGCCCCTCAGCTGCGCAGCTCGCGCACCTTGCGCACCTTGCGCACCAACTGGTGGGGAAGGGAAAAGGGGGGGGGGGGGAGAGGCGGCAGGGGGAAAGAGGAATATGAGGTGTGGGAAAATTGTTCTATCGCAAGCAGCTCTCACACCTTGTGCAACAGATGAAAGGGAGGAGTGAGGTGGGGAGAACGAGGGTAGAGGGATCTGGCAAGAGGACGAGGCGGGCAGCAGCAGGAGGGAAGGTGAGGTGAGGGGGCGTGCAGTGCGGTGCAGTGTGGCAGAGAGGCGAAGGCAGGAGGCGCAGCTCAGGACCTTTGCGGCCAGCATAGCGTATAGAGTGGGACGGACCAGCAGAATTAGGGTAGATGCATTGGAAGTAGTTGAGAGGAATGGCGCAAAGAGCCTTACTTACATGGATTGAAACGGATACCTCATTCTGTGAGAGTAGCCACGCACGCTGCATTAGAATGTATCCTGGCCATCCATCAACTCACAGACTCAAGCAACCAATGCATTCTGACCGTCCGTGACTCATCACGTCCTCGTTGACTCACCACGTCCTCGTTGACTCACCACGTCCTCGTTGACCATGCTCCACTCCGACGCATCCTCATCGTCCATCATAAAGCCATCCGCGTTATAGATCGATATGCGCCGCGACGGCAAGCTGCGAAGAAACTTCCCTCCCTGCAGAAGAGACAGAGGGCGAGGAGAGGAGAGAGACATGCGGTGGAGTGGAGATAGTCTCACCATGTCCAGTAATACTCTCGCGGTGACAGTTCCAACAACTAGGGGGGGGACGCACGCAATTATCAACCACGGACTTGCAGGGGGACAGTCATGACTGGATTTGGTTGGGACCGGCATTGCTTCTGAGACATCCCCGTCACAATTCCCCTGTGCTCACCTTGCCGGAAGCCTCCTTGGGCTTCTCTTCGTCGTCGGACGACCCCGCGCCGCCCTCGGCGTCCGAGTCTTCGGCTTCTGACTCATCGTCGTCATCGTCGTCCTCCTCCTCATCCTCCTCCTCCTCCCCCCCATCCCCGTCCTGCGCTCCGCCCCGCCGCCCAATCCCCGTGCGCGCGCGGACAGCCGTCTGCGCGCGCGCAATGCGCTTCCCCACGCCGCCCTTCGCCTTGGCGAAAACTTTCACGAGGTTCTTTGCCGCCTGCTGCGGCTGTGCGATTTTCGACGCCAGCGCACCCGTCGCAGCTCGTCGCATGGAGCTCGTCGCATCCGAAGCTTCCGTGGACCTTCCGCTTCCCACCGTCGCGGAGCGTTTCGACCGGCCTTCGCCAGCGGAAAGGGACTGCGTGGCTCCGCGCGCGGCGGCAGCGGCGGCTGCGGCGGCGGCGGAAGCGGTGGAAGTGACTTTATGCGTGAGCGACGAGGTGCGGCCTCCTAAGCGCTCGGGCTCCTCGTCGTCCATGGCGGCGCGAGGCACTCGCAGAAAGACCTAAGCTTGGGGAGTAATGTCAGGAATCGAAACAGAACGCCAGCTGCAGGTGCTCCAGGAAGAGCGAAATATAAAGGTCAAACCTAATTACGGAGCCTAATGACCGTTTCTCCCCCGGATACGCGATATTTGCTCCCACGGAAGCTGTAAACTAATGATTTGCTGCGGACAGCGACGAGACAATGGCTGACATAAAAATACGCGAGCTAGCAGCATGTGATGTTTCAACTCAACTACACCAGTCTACAACCAAGCACCACTGAAAATGCTCCCGCTACAGTCACACCTCTGGCTTTTCAGCTTGGTTCCGCCAAAACACCGATTTTCCCGAGGCATTACCACCAGCCTTGGGAGTGGTTTGGGTACTGTAATTGACATTGCCTTTGGGTTTTGGTTCAACTCTTTGCGGTGCTCTGTTGAATTCAGAATTTTACAAAAGTGTACAGCAGCACCTTTGGAAACAGAGCAATTCGTCACTCTCTGGCGAAGCCTTGAGATTACCATGCCATCTGACAAACGCTTTCAAGAGCATCCCTGAAACTGCAGCACACCAGCGTTTCACGGCAATGAACTGAACTAAACTCGTGGGCTTCTGCTGTCTGATTTGCTTGTGAGCTCATCTGCAGGACTCGATCCTTTCACTGATTCTGGAGAGAGAGTTCTGCACGCCGGACACGCCGGGCTTTCTCATTGCGAAGCATTAGCGAGCCCTGCGTCGCATCCTTAGAGCTTCTGTAACGTCTCATGCTCGCATTCATTCCGTAGACCGTCGTTGGCGTCCCATGTTTGCATTTTCGTGCTCAGAGCATCCGTAAGGTCTTATATGTTAGCATTCACATCGTAAGAGCGTGTTCTGCGTCGTAACTGCGCGCAGCGTCTCTCGGCATGTCGTCGCTCGTGCGCGCCGTGTCGCGAGGCGGCAAGCCGTCGGAAAAAACGCTACTCGCTCCTGGGCAGGCTCGCCGGACGAGATAAGGCGAGCCGCTTTGCCCGTAGCGGCTCGTCTGCCGCGCCACGCGGCGCCGCATCGCAGAGCGCGTCTAGCCAGCAAGCGAGTAAGTTAGCTCGCGACGTAAAGGCGGACGACGACGACGACGACGACGACGATTCGGACGACGACGAGATTCTGAGCATCTCGTCGGACGAAGACGATGAACGCGGCCCGAGCGTCCCGGCGATCACGCCGCGCGCGCCGGCGAAGGTGCAATCTCAGACCCCTTTCCTTACGCGTCTGCCAATCATATGACTTCCTTAATGCCCTCTGAAAAAATAAATCCTAGTGTTATGCACCTCATGACGCTCCACCAATGGATGGAATCCACGTGTGCAGTGGGAATCGTCACGCGCTCTAACGCGGATGGGGACGCGGCGGTACGGAGCCTTGGAGTTGGTCGACGGGGGAGAGCCGGCGTCGTGGGACCAAGTCGGCGAGGACGCGGTGAGTGGCAGTGCGCTCCAGGCTCAGTGCGTTCAGCAGTCTCGCTGCCCTGAGAGGTGCGAGGCAGGAAGGAACTCGTGACTGGGCGGACCGAGGGATGTTGGGAGCAGAGTTGGTGAATGCAGGGCCATTCTGCTGCGAGGGCATGCGGTTCGTGCATTGGTGGTGGGGAAGGGTGTGGGTTCCTTTCCTGTGGCTGGTTTGGGGGGTCACGGGGCTTGTGCGGCTGTGTGGCACTGAGCGAGTGTGTGAGGACAACCATTGAGCTGGGATTAACAGCACCTTCCCTATCCCCCCCTCTCTCTCACGAGTACTGTTTTACTTACCCACTCACTCACTCTCCCACTCACTCACGCACACGCGCCTTGGAGAGAGCAGCTGATGCGGAAGGTGCGGGAGCTGCGAGCAGCGCTGGGCGGGCGGGCGAATGTGCGGTCGCAGGCAGTGAGTCAGGGCAGCACGGACGAGCCGCTGGGCTCCACCATCGTGGACCCGCTCGGCCTGGGGTGAGTGCTCCGTGTCATGTCAAAGACTCAGCACCATGCCTGCGCTGTCATGCACTTACAAGCATCGACATCCGCTTTCATCCCCTAGAAGGGCTGCAAGAGTGCTGTCGCTCGCAGACAGTCCAGTCCAGTGGATTATAATTGACACATCATGCCTTCCTTCCCAGACATTGGCTGGCTGACTGCTCTCCGTTTACCCTCCCTCCTTGCATCCCTCCCACACGCTGCCTCCTTGCCCGTTCATGTGCATCCTCACTCCACCTCCCCGCTGCTGTTGCCTGCCACTTTCCCTCCCACCTGCTCTGACTTCCTCTCTTGCCTACCCCTCCGCTCCGCTGCCTCTTACCGTTCATTTCCCCACCAATGTGTGTCTTTTTCTCTCCACACATGTGCTCGTGGGTGTTGGTGTGCGCGTGTGCCATGAGCCCTGAGGCAGGCCTCTGGACGTGGAGCACATGTGTCTGCAGAGCCGCTACGACAAGGGCAAGGCTGCACCTGACCGCTCTCTCCACCCAGGTCAGCGCCTGTTCATTCAGGCTGATGCGCATGTGGTTGGTGTGCGCATGAGCCTTGCGGCAGGCCGCTAGACGTGGAGCACATGTGTCTGCAGAGCCGCTACGACAAGGGCAAGGCTGCACCTGACCTGACCAATCCCTCCACCCAGGTCAGTGATGTTCATTCAGGCTGCTGTGGGGCTGTCCAGGCGAATGCTGTGACCCTAGGTAGAGAGTGCTTACATGGATACTGTTGATATTGGCATGTCTCTCCATTCTTGCTTGCTGCTGACATTCGTGTGTTACATATGCATGGGATTCTGTGTGCGTTTACATGGCACATGGGTGTGCGTGACAGGGCATGGCTGGAGGGTTCATTGTGTGCTACCTAACCCTGGACGCATATGCCTGTCACCGTCCCTCTTGCGCCCACATGCAGAGATGCTGGTGAATCTGGACGAGGCGTTTGAGCCGATGCTGTACCTGACGGTGGTGCACGGGGGCAGCAGTGCGCGCGAGCTGGAGGAGGGGCGGGAGAAGCTGGGCGAGACGATGCAGCGTGAGAAGGAGCAGCTCAAGCGCCTCGTGCAGAACAACTTTGACTGCTTCATCTCCTGCAAAACCACCATCAACGGTGCGTGAGTCTGCATCTCCTGCAAAACCACCATCAACGGTGCGTGAGTCTGCATCTCCTGCAAAACCACCATCAACGGTGGGCCGGTGCTGGAGTTTCCTGCAAAACCACCATCAATGGTGGGTCAGTGTTTCGTCTCCTGCAAAACCGCCATCAACGGTCCATTCGTGCTGCATCTCATCTCCTGCAAGGCCATCAGTAATGGTGGATGTGAGGCTAGGGAGTGCAAGTGTGACCTGACAAGCTCTTTCATGGAGCGCGGGTGCACTTCAAGGTGATTCACAGCTGTGTGCCTGGTTCGTCTCTTGTGTTGTGCTCTCCATTCCATTCTCCCCACCCCTCTTCCAACTCGCCGTTCTCACCCCTCTCACCCTCGCTCCCCTCCCTCCACGTTGTGCTCATGTGCGCATGCAGACATCGAGCGCGGGCTGGCGTCTATGAAGAGGGACTGTGCGTTGGACACACTGGCAGCCGCCATATTCTACGTGGACCATCACTCCAAGACAGCTGTCTCTCCCCCCCTTCCACGCATGCCTCTCTATCATGCATGTGTGCATGTGTGCTGCAGACATCGAGCGCGGGCTAGCGTCAATGAAGAGGGACTGTGCGTTGGACACACTGGCAGCGGCCATCTTCAATGTGGACCACCACTCCAAGACCGCCTTCGGCCCGCTGCTCGAACGCAGAGTACGTTTGCCTCCTATCAATTCTTGCCTTCTGCTGCTGCTTCTGTGGTGCTGTGTTGCTCGTGCTGCTTCCATTGGCCTCGTGCCAATTTCTGTTCGTTTGTTCCTCGTCCCAGTTTGGTCGCCCGCTCTTCTGGTGCTCCATTCCCTGTGCGCACTTGTCATCCTTCCTCTTTCCCCCTCTCATCTCATTCATGCAACTTCCTGTCTCTTCTCTCCCCACCCGTGTGCCCACCCCCCGCCCCCCACGACACGTGCAAGTGCAGCGCGTCCAGTCGGTGCAGGGGCGCTGCTGAGCATGCTCCTATACTCCTTTTTCCCATCCCTGTTTCTCACGCCACCCATGCACCCACACCCACCTCCCCCCCCCCCCTAAGCCAGGCGCAAGTGCAGCGCATCCAGTCGGTGCAGGGGCTGCTGCTGCGCTAGGTCCTTGCCTCACACTCCATACTCCCCTTTTCCCCTTCCCTCCTCCTCATTCATGCCACCCATCCATGGACCTTCTCCCTCTCCAGGCGCAAGTGCAGCGGATCCAGTCAGTGCAGGGGCTGCTGCTGCGGTTCCGCACGCTCTTCAACATGCCATCCGCCATCCGCGCCCACCTGCGCAAGCACGAGTACGACAGCGCCGTTCATGAGTACCTCAAGGCCAAGTCCATCTCGCTCACCGGCCACGTGAGTCACTCTCTCTCAGAACGATGAAGTGCGTCTCAGAATGATGACATGCATCTCATACCTCACCTGCGCAACGACAGCGCCGTGCACGAGTACCTCAAGGCCAAGTCCATCTCGCTCACTGGCCATGTGAGTTTCAAACCGATAGACATGCCTTTCAGCTCCCACATGTGAGTCTCAGAACAAGTAACATGCTTTCCACGCATCACCTGCGCAAGCACGGGTACGGCAGCGCCGTGCATGAATATCTCAAGGCCAAGTCCATCTCGCTCACTAAGCCTGTGAGTCCCTCCCAGCGGCAATGAACATGCTTCTCACATGTAATCACGTTCGATGTGCACCCCTCTTCCCTTCGCCGTTTATTCGCCTGAACAGCTTAACTTCTCCGTCCGTCGTTTCCGTGTCTCTCCCACCCTTCGCCTCTGTCCCTTCCCCCCACCACCCCTTCACCTCTCGCGCCACCAGTCGAACATCCTGAGGAGGGTGAACGAGGAGGTGGAGAAGGTAGTGGACGAGTTCAGCCGCATCCTGTACGCACAGATGAGCGACCCCACCGCCCCACCCGCCACCGTGAGTTCACCATGTCTCAAGCCAGAACCATCCGAGCAGGTACAACACCCTTGCGGAAGGGTGGGGTAGATGCACACAGAATATCGTTGGTAATTGTTTGGTTGAGGTTTCACAGCTCAAGTCTCAGCACTCCTGTATCTGAGCCAAGTGTCTCCCCTCCGTTCCTCCGTTTCTTTTCTCAGATGTGATTGCCATTCGCCATTCGCCTGCTGCAACAGTCGGTTCACTTCACTGGTCACCTCCCCCACGCCCTCCCTCCCTGCCCTCTTCCCCGCAGGTGGAGAGCGCCATTCAGCTGCAGCTGCAGTTCGACCCGGATAGCAGCCCTGTGTGGTGTGGCAGTACGTGGGCATGCGGGAGCGTTCACTCCTTTCCTTACTCACATCTTTGTTCACCCTCCTTTATGCCTGCCTGGAAGAAAACGCCATCCGCTTGCTGTTGGAGATCGACCCGGAGAGCGACCCCGTGTGGTGTGGTGTGGTGTGGTGTGGCAGTACGTGGGCATGCGGGAGCGTGACTCATGCATGAATCCCCTCCCTGACCTCCTCTTCTCAGGTAGAGAACGCCATCCGGCTGCTGTTAGAGATCGACCCAGACAGCGACCCCGTGTGGCAGTACGTGGGCATGCGGGAGCGGCGCATCCGAGGGCTGCTGGAGGCGTGCGTGCAGCAGCATGAGCGCCGCGTGCAGGGCATTCGCCGCCGCCGCCAGGAGAAGCGCGAGGAGGAGCACCAGTGGCGCCTGCTGCAGCGCAACCCCCATGAGAAGGTGCGTAGGTGCTTGGGAGAGCAGGGGGCGGGGTTGAGAAGGGAATCACAGTGTGAAAGGGAAGGGCAGGGTAGGCGGCAGGAGAAGCAAGGAGGAGGAGGAGGAGCACCAGTGGCGCCTGCTGCAGCGCAACCCCCATGAGAAGGTGGGAGGGTGGGTGGGGCGGGGGAAGGGGGTCGGTCCTAGTGGCACTCCTGAACCGTGAGGTGGAGGAGCAGGAGGAGGCGACAGGCGCACTGACCTTCTCCATTTCCTCTTGTTGCTTACTCCTCCCCTTCTGTTCTGCCCCTCACTTGACCCCTCAGCTGGAGCCGGGGCTGGCGGCATTCCTGAACGGGGAGGTGGAGGAGCAGGAGGAGGCGGAGGACGTGTTGGATGGGGAGGAGGAGGAGGAGGTGCAGCAGCAGCACGCGCTGCTCGTGTGCCGCCTCGCCGCCGTGCTGCAGCAGCAGCTGCCGCAGCTCTGGAAGGTCATGCTGGGCATCTTCACCGGCAAGTTTGCCAACTTCTCCAAAGAGACTCCGGTGGGTGCGAGCATGGGTGTGTGCTCATAGGTGTGTGTGTGTGTGTGTGGATGTGTGGGTGGGTGAGCTGCAGCAGCAGCTGCTGCGGCTGTGGAAGGTCATGCAGGGCATCTTCACCGGCAAGCAAGTTCGCCAACTTCTCCAAGGATGCACCGGTGCATGTGCGAATGGATGGGTTTGTGGTTGGGTGCGAGCGAGTGGAGGGTTGTCTAGGTGCCTCACAACACAACAGGTCATGCAGGGTATCTTCACCGGCACGTTCTCCAACTTCTCCAAGGACACTCCGGTGCGTGACAGCATGGGTGGGTGCGTGCGTGCATGGGTGGGTGCATGCGAGTGGATGGTTGTTTAGCGCCTCACAACATAGAAGGCCATGCTGGGCATCTTCACTGGCAAGTTCGTCAACTTCTTCAAAGACAAGCTGGTCCCTGTGTAGTTTTCAACAAGACATTTGAGACGCCTGAAAGTCTGTCACATTGTTTTTCCTGGAAAATTCTGGTGATTTGTTATGAAGAATGTGGCCGTTAGTGGAGGGGGAGAAGGTAGTAGAACGAGAGGAAGGGTGCTGGTTCTAAGTTGGAGTATACGCTCAGAGCCTCAAGCGTATCGCGTTTATACACTTGCGTTTTAACGCTATACGCAATACGCTAGGGAATACGCAATACGCAGTCAGAAAATTTTTAGGGCTGCCCGAAAAAAAATCGCGGAACAGGTGCGGAATTTCTTCGTGAGCATTTCGCGAAAGTCGAAATGCTAATCGGTGGTCTAGGCAAGTGGGAAGATGTCAGCGGAATCGGGTCGACGAGCCTGTCGACCTGTGTCGACCTGGCGACCTGCTGCCCCGGGCAGCAAAAAAACTAAACCCCCATCGGATGGCATGCCATCCGAGGGAGCCTCAACCCTAAACACCATGCCTCCAGGCATTTAGGGTTGATGCCTCCCTGACCGGATGCATGCCCGTCTGGGTTTTTTTTTTTGCCCGCGGGCAGCGAGCTCCCTCGGGCGTCGACCTGGTTCCGCTGAGCTATTTTCGGCGCTAGCGTTTATCCGCTAGCGTATAAACGCTGAACGCTTCTTGGGAGGCTTCCTGTACGCAGTGAATACGCTGGCCCGGGCACCTAATTTTTTTTCCCGGGCAGTTGTTAGGTCTTTAGCGGGGGATGGGCGAGGTGCAAAGCACGAAGTTGGTGCCCGCAGTCTAGTCATACTCGTTGAGAAGTATGAAGTCGGCGAGATCGAGATGAAACGAAATGTAGAAATGTCGAGATTAGGGCTGACTGGCTGGTTAGCAGCGTGGGGTTTGTTGGGGGGGTGGTTCTGGACAGGTTGGAGTTCGTAGATGTTATGGGTTCCAGTGCGGTACTAATATGAGATTCAACATTTCGATTCCCAGACATGCCTCCCAACTTCGAAGTCACATTTCGCCGAAAATAGCTCAGCGGAATCAGGTCGACCTGATTCCGCTGACATCTTCCGTATGAAACGCGAAACGCGTATATTCCAACTAAGTGCTGGTTGTGGTGTGCACTGCCTGATACAAGTTGTGTGGATGGGTGTGCCGGAAGAATGAGCGATGACAGGACGGCGAGAGAATGCCGCTTTGCGCAGAGCTGTAGCGCATCCTTTCATTCCAGTACCCTTCTTTCCCTCTTGCTTTCCTTTTCCCCACCACCTCCTGCCACCCTCCCACCTCCTCCCTGCACTCCACAGGCAGCAGCAGCGTACCCCTACGCAGGGGCATACGGAGCCAAGCCGCCCTTACCGCGCTCCAACTCGGGCCTCTCCAACCAGGGCGGGGGCGGGGCAGGAACAGGGGGCCCGTACCGCAAGCACACACAGATGGAGGGGGTGGCGATGGTGATGGGCATCGTGGGCGTGTTTGAGGGCCACGTCACAGACGCGTTCACGGCGCTCGAGAGCAGCCGCGAGCTGCGCCCCCACATGCTGCAGGCCGTCACCGCTGTCGCTCAAGCGTCCTCCGCCTTTGCTGCTGCGGAGGCGGCTCCTCCCCTGGCAGGTGCGTGCGTGAGTGGGCCTCTCAGGCAGGCAGGTGAGTGTCAGGCTCACGACTAGGAGAGCAGCCGGGAGCTGCGCCCCCACATGCTGCAGGCCATCACCGCTGTCGCCCAGGCGTCGTTGGCCTTTGCTGCTGCCAAAGCGGCTCCTCCTCTAGCAGGTGCGAGGCCTCTCAGGAAGGCAGGTGAGTGTCGGCCTGTCAGGCTCACGATTGGGAGAGCAGCCGGGAGCTGAGCTGCACCCCCACGCCTGTTGTCCAGGCGTCGTCCAGCCTTGCTGCGGCCGAGGCGGCTCCTTCCCTGGCAGGTGAGTGTGCGGCCTTTGAGACAGGCGGGTGACTGTTATAATTAGCCCACAGTCTTAGAGAGCAGCAGGGCTGCGGCCGGCCGTGCATGTGGCAGCCTGTCTCTGCATCCCACCGCGCCTCCTTGCAACTGGACAACCCCCCCTTCTGAGTCGACTCAAAAGTCACCTCTGCCTCCCACCGCGCCTCCTTGCAACTGGACAACCCCCCCTTCTGTCTGCCCCTCTCCTCCCCTTCTGTCTTTCCCCCCCCCCCAAACCCCCACCCCCAGTGCAAGCGCTGCACCAGTGCCGCATCACCATCACGGCTCGCTTTGTGCGGCAGCTGTGCTTCATCATGCGCGGGGCAGCGGGGGACGTGGCTCGGCAGGAGGAGTGGGTGCCGGCGCCCGCGCACCTCATCAAGGGCTCCGAGTTTGACATCTCGCACTTCCCCGTGCGCTTTGGGGACACCGTGGGGGCTGCCTTGGACCAGATCACACAGTGAGTGGGGACGAGGGACTGGCCGTCACAGTGAGTGGGGAAGAGCGACTGGCCGTCACAGCGCTGTACCGTCTGTCTGCCCTGGCAGGTGTTGTCTGAGGCGTTGTACATTGGCTGCATCACCCTTGAGAGCATGTCTCCTGCATCATCTCCAACACTCTCCGCTCCATCTTGCTCCTCACATGACGTAGGGGCCTTGGCGCAGCTGTCAAAGGACGGCTTTAGCATCCCAGTGGCGAGCGGGTCAGCTGCAGCAGCAGCACAGGCAGCCACAGATTCCGTTTCCCGTGTGCAACACTCTCCGGTTCCCTCCCTCCCCGTCCATCCGCCCCTCCCATCCCGCAGGGCTCTGGCGCAGCTGTCAAAGGACGGCCCCAGCATCCCAGTGGCAAGCGGGTCGGATGCAGCAGCAGCACAGGCGGTGGCAGCGGCGGAGGTGTGGCGGATGTACGCATCGGTCAAGACCACCTTCTACGAGTCGTTTGTGGATGCGTGCGGTGAGTTGAATTGGCAGCTGGACTCGCTCGTATTCGACCCTCATGAGCTTGCATTGGCTCACGAGACAGCAGAGGTGTGGCGATGCGTGCATGGGTCAAGATCACCTTGTACGAATCATTTGTCGATCAATGAATGCAGTAAGTCACGGTGTTTCTTTCCTAGTTCCTCCTCTCACTCTTTTCTTCGCCCTCCCCCTCCCTCTCCCCCGTTTCCCCATTCCTCATCCCCCAGAGGCGCTGCTGGAGAAGGCCAAGCAGCTACCAGACGGATCCACTCCCCACGGGGTATCACACTCCCCCACTCACCCTCTCTCGCTCTCCCCCCTCCCCATCCCCTCCCCTCCCCATGCGTCTCCCCCGTTTCCTCCTTGCTCCTCCCCCCACCAGAGGCGCTGGGGCAGATGGCGAAGCAGCTGCCAGACGGATCCGCCCCTCACAGGGCATCCTTGTCCCCCACTCACCCTCCTTCTCCCCAATCCCCCTCCCCTGTTTCCCCCACCCCATCCCCCCCCACACATCAGAGGCGCTGGGGCAGATGGCCAAGCAGCTGCCAGACGGATCCGCCCCGCCCGAGGGGGAGGAGGGGGCGGAGGGCGAGGAGGAAGGGGGGGGCGAGGGGGCGGGCGGGGCGCCGCAGTTTGAGGGGCTACAGCAGGGCGTGGAGGTGGGCAACCCGCACCAGCGCATCCTCATGCTCCTCAGCAACGCCGGCTTCTGCCGCTCTGTTGTGGCGCGCGACCTCGCCCAGCGCTACCAGCACCTCTGGAACGACCCCAGGTGCTCAGCGGTGGAGTGCGGTCAGGTGGGGTGGGGTGGGGTTGGGTGGGGTGAGGTGAGGTGAGAGAGGGTTGAGCGCCTGGGCTGGGATGGCATGCAGAGGACCTGACAGAGGGCTGGCAGTACATGTGAGACCCACGAGGTGTAACGTGTCCTTCAAGGAAAGCCGTTCGTCCCTCCTTCCCACCTGTGTCTGCTTCCCCACAACCACCCTCCCCTTCACCCCCCTCCCCTTTCCCCCGTCCACTTCCCCCTTCCTGTTCCTCCCCTCTGCTTCCCCCCTTCCCGTACCCTCCTCCTCCCGTCCCTCCCTCGCCCACACCAGTGCATCAGCGCCAACAGCCACCCGTCCAGGCTACACCCCGCCAGCACTGAGCGAGGTGGAGCAGCTGCTGGCAGACGTGGAGCGCGTGTTCGTGGAGGCGGAGACACATTCCCCTCCTTCTACCCTCCCCCCCACCCCCCCCACCCCCTCCCCACACACTCTTCCCGTGCTCGTCAGTGCATCAGCCCCAACAGCATCGAGGCCGGGCTACACACCGCCAGCACTGAGCGAGGTGGAGCAGCTGCTGGCAGACGTGGAGCGCGTGTTCGTGGAGGCGGAGACAGCCGTGGGCGACCAGTACATAGCGGCCAAGGCGCAGCATCTGGGCATGGCTGTTATCCGCTACTTCCTTGAGGATGGCACCTCCTGGGCTGCTGCGCCTCCTGTCAAGGTGCGCTGCTGCTCGCCCTGTCAAATTGGGCCAGTTTTGAGGGCTCTTCAGGTTTAGAGTGATCGAGGCTTGTGTGTTGAACACTGGGTTCTTGAGCTTTGGTACTTGTGTTAGCGTGTGCTGCAGCAGCAGTTGCGGGTTGCTTCTGCATGTGCATGTGCTCGCGGCTGTACTGTTGTACTGCATCCGTGAAACCAACCGGGCTCTATTGTTAGAATTCAAGAAAATGATTGAGTAATGAGCCAAGGAGGCTCTATAGTACAAGCATGCAAGGAAGAGAGGAGTGGAGGAGGAGCTAACCCTATTGGCCACTAAGTTGGCCAATGGGTGAGGTGCCTTGTGGAGTAGGAAACCCCACAATGTAGATAGGATGTGATTGGTTGGTGTTAGGACCAAAAGTTGGCAAGTGCCAACCAAGGACCAAGACCAAATCCAATCTTGACCAACCACAAAGTGTGGTTGGAGTGTACACCCAACCCCCCAAGAACATAAGGGACTACACCTATTCTAGCCTATGAATGTTGTATATAATGTACATTTACAACACATCCCCCCAACATGCATAAGGCTAGAAGATGTAATTAGGAGGCCGTCAAAACCGGAGGAGGGGTGAGGCCAAGGAGACGCAGAAGGAAGGAGTGGGATGCTTGGGGAAGGGCTTTGGTGAAGATGTCCGCGAGGTTGGCCGCCGAGTCGATTTTGCCAAGGCGAATGTGGCCAGGCTCAACGAGATCGCGAATGAAGAAGTAGCGAAGCTCAATGTGTTTGGAGCGCCCATGATGCACAGCATCCTTGGCGAGGTGGATGGTGCTGGCGTTGTCACACCAGATGGTGGGACAGCGTTGGGGGGCTCCAAGCTCATCAAGGAGGAAGGTGAGCCAGCGTGCTTCTTGCGCGGCCATAGTGGCAGCGTAGAGCTCTGCTTCGCAGGAGGAGAGGGCGACGGCAGAGGAGCGTGTGGACCGCCAGCTGATAAGACCGCTGCCCAGAGAGAAACCATAACCCTGAGAGGATCGTCGATCCGGTCGCGAATCAGCCCAGGAAGAGTCGCTGTAGCCGCTAAGGAGGGGTGGGGAAGGGCCGCCAAGGGTAAGGACATAGTCCTTAGTGCCACGAACGTAGCGAAGGATGCGCTTGGCGGCCTGCCAGTGCTCTTCCGTATGCTTGCCAGCGCCAACGAAGCGAGCTAGGACGCTGATGGGGTAGGCACGGTTAGGGCGAGTGGAAACCATGGCGTACATGAGAGAACCGATGAGTTCAGGATAAGGATGGGAGGAGGGAGAGGGAGAGGAGGGTGGGGAGAGGTGGTGCCCAACCGAGAGGGGAGTGGGCTGGGGGTTGCCGCGCGCCATTTCAAACCGGTCCAAGACCTGCTGGAGGTAGTGACCCTGAGAGAGAGAGATGGTGCGGGCGGAGCGGTCGCGAGTGATAGTCATGCCGAGGTAGTGCTGCAGCTCTCCCAGGTCTTTGCACTTGAGACGGCTGCCCAGCTCCGTCTTGACACTCTCGAGTTCGGCAAGATCGGCAGTGAGGAGAATCATATCGTCAACATAGACGAGGATGTAGAAGGGGGAGGGGGAGGTGCGGAGGAAGAGGCTGGCGTCAGAGCGGGAGGTGCGAAACCCAAGCTCGGCAAGGGTGGCAGCAAGCTTGGTATGCCATTCCCTGGGTGCCTGGCGGAGCCCATACACTGGTCGGCGCAGCTGCCAGACGGAGTCAGCGGGGAAAGGGAAGTGGAAGCCCACTGGGCGCTCCATGTAGATCAGTTCACGTAGCACGCCTTGCAGGAAGGCGTTGGAGACATCCATCAAGTGGATCTCCATATTGAGGCGAGCGGCGAGGTCGAGTATGGCGCGAACGGTAGCAGGTTTGGCGGTGGGGGAGAAGGTGTCGAAGAAGTCAAAGCCATACCGCTGCGTGAAGCCCTTGGCGCAATACCGGGCCTTGTAGACGGGCGGCTCTCCTGGTAGCTGTTTGACGCGAAACGCCCACTTCCCCTTCACCACGTTCGTAGAGGAGGGAGGGCGAGGCACATCAACGAAGGAGGAGTTGGCAATAAATGCCTCGAGCTCCTTGATGATGGCGGCGAGCCAGAGCGGGGCGTCGGGGCAAGCCATGGCCTCCTCATACGTGGTTGGGATGAAGGTGGAGGGAGCAGAGGAAAAGGCGAAGACTGGTGTTCCAGAGAGGTCAAAGGTGATGGGAAGGAGGGAGGGGTCAGAGAGGTGGAGGTCAAGGAACTCCTCATGGGAGTCCTCAGAGAGGGAGGTGTGGAAGGCGCAGATGACTGCAGGTGCCGCTGCTGGTGCCGCTGCTGGTGCCGCTGCTGGTGCTGGTGCGGGTGCCGCTGCTGCCGCTGCACTCGCCGCTGCTGGTGCCGCTGCTGGTGCCGCTGCTGGTGCCGCTGCGGTGGCTGCTGCTGGAGCTGCTGCTGCTGCTGCTGGAGAGGTGGTTGAGGGGGCTGGATGCAAGACAGCCTGGAAGAAGTGGTGAAGGAGAGGGGAAAGAGGAGGGAGGGTAGAGGTAGAGAGGGTAACAGGGGGCGGTGCACCAAGGATACTGTCACGTGACCTGGTGTGAGGATACCGGGTGAGTATGGTGCGGGGAGTGGGGGAGGGAGGGGGAGGAGGGGCACCAGGGGAGGAGTGAGTGGGGGAGGCAGGAGAAGACAGGGGGTCCGGGTCAAAGATGTCACCAGACGAGGGGGGGGCACCGTGGGACTGGGAGGGCGGAGGGGGAGGGGGTGGGAGGATGGGGGGAGGAGGGAGGAGAGGGGGAGGGGTGGTGTCAGACCAGACAAGGGGACGAGTTAGAGGTGGGAGTGGGTCAGTGGACGGAGGAGAGGAATAGTACGAGGTGGATTCGTCAAAGACGACATCTCTGCTGCGAATTAATCGACCAGAAGGGGGGTGCAGGAAAAGATAGTCGGGGGAAGAGGGGTTATGACCAAGGAAGATGCAAGGAAGGGTACGAGGGGCAAGCTTTCCCAGGGAACGGGATCGGTCAGACGGGTGAATGAGGACATATGCCTTGGAGCCCCAGACTCGAAGAGGGGAGACATCGGGTTTGTCCTTTGTCCATAGCTCAGTGGGGGTGGTGGAGGGGAGGAGGGGGTGAGGGTAAAGGTTAATAAGGAGGGCGGCATGAAGGAGGGCGTAGCCCCACAGAGAAGGGGGGCATGAGGCGTGGACAAGAAGACACCGAGCCGTTTTGGTGATCTCCCGAACACGGCTCTCAGCGACACCGTTCTGCTGTGGGGAGTGAGGGAGGGTGTAAGTCTGAAGAATGCCGCGGGACTGGCAATAGGAGGAGATTTGGTTATTAAGGAACTCACCACCACCATCAGAGCGGAGGCGGCGAACAGGGCGCCCAAAGTGGGTGTTTGCCTGTTCGAGCCAGGCAATGATCGCAGTCGGGGCGTCCACCTTTGTCCGAAGGAGAGAGACGGACGAGTACCGACTGTGATCATCGACGAGCACGAGAAGGTAGCGATGGCCTTGGCGAGTGGGGGAGGGGTTAGGGCCCCAGAGGTCCATGTGAACAAGATCAAGTGGCTGGGCAGCAGCGGAGGGGGAGCTCCGGTGCGGCTGCTGCTTGAGCTTGCTCTGAACACAGACGACGCAAGGGGGGGCAGGGGACTTTGGGAGGGGAGGGAGGGAGAAGGGGAGACCGTGGAGGAGACCGGAAGATACAGAGGAGCGCAGAGTGGCGAAGTTGGGGTGACCTAGTCTGTGATGGAGGAGGATGGCAGGGTGGGAGAGGGAGCGACATGAGCAGTCAGAGTCAGGGGGGCGGGGGGGGACGGGTGGGTTAGTGGGAGGGAGGGGAGGAGGGGGGGGGATGCAACTTGGAAGGTGAGGGGGCGAGGAACCCGAAGGGTGTACAGACGGGAGCGGGGACAGTAGGGAATGCGGGAGAGGAAGCGACCTGTGGAGGTTTGGTAAAGGTCACAATGGTTAGCACCACCTGGGGTGACAGTTGTGATCATGGATTGTTGGAGGGATCTTTGGGAGAGGAGGTTGGTGCGAAGGGAGGGAATGTGAAGACCTGTGACAGTACCTGAGGGAAAGAGAGGACAGGGAAGGGTGGACGTGTTGTGACAGGGGATGGAAAAGCTGCTATCAGCGCCGAGGAGGGACGTGGGAGTGGGGAGAGGATGGAGTTTGCCGGCATCGCGAAAGACATTGTCAGTGGCTCCACTATCCAAGACGAACTCAAGGGTGGAGGAGGGTGAGGCGGAGTACTGAATTGAAGTTTCATTAATAGCAAGGGCATACATAGGGGATGCGACAGAAGGAGGCTGACTAAGCAGACCAACAAAGCCAGAGGAGGGAAAGGGGGTCACACTGCCACCTGTAGACGGTGCAGGGGATGGACCGGAGAGGTGGGCCGCGGAGGCCGCATTCCCGGCGGTCCAGCCGGGAAACGACTGCTGCTGGGGGACAGGAGGAGGAGGGAGGAGAGGAAGCTGGGGCTGGAGGTCAAGCTGCTGCTGGAGCTGCTGAAGCTGCTGCTGGAGCTGATGAAGCTGCTGCCCGTACTGCTGCGGCCCTTGCTGCTGGACACTCTGGTGCTGCTGCTGCTGCTGCTGCTGGTGAGAGGGGAGAGCAAAGGCCTGGTGGGCCTGGGAGGAGGAGGAAGGGGCGTAAAGGGGAGAGGTGCGGACATCGAGGGGAGTGGGGCGGGGGTTGAGGGCGGACCAGCGAGGAGGGGTGCCAGAGTTCCCACGAGCGAACCACTCATCACTGAGTGCCTTGAAGCACGTCTCAGTCGCATGAGTGGTCTGGTTGCAGCGTTGGCCTCGGGTGGGGCCATAGAGGGGAAGATACTGACAGGGTGGGAAGGTCGCTGCTGCACCACGACCCGCACCACCACGACCGCCAGAGCCGCCTCGACCACCACCACGCCCACCTCCACGCCCCCCTCCACGCCCGCCTTTGCTGCTGCGCTGCTGTGCTGCTGCGGCAGTGGAGGAGGAGTGGCGCGGGATTTCAGCTTCAGTGGTGATGATCCATTGTGCAACTTGAGCGAGAGTGTCATGCTTGGAGAGGAGTTGCATGTATGCCAGCTTATGGGCATCGAAGGCAAGAGTGAGACCCTCGAGAAGGTGGCAGCAGATGACGGTGTCAGGGTAGACAACACCGAGCGCTGCAAGGCGGCGAGCGAGGTCAAGGACGCGGCGAGTAAAGGCAGCTGCGCCGGCGGTGGAATCCATGGTGATGGATCCGAATTCTTTAATGAGTGCATAGAGATTGGCGATGTCCAGTTGGTCAAAGAGGTCGACAAGCAGTTGCCACAGGTGGGAGGAGGAGGTGGGGGAGAGCTCTCGTTTGAGGGAGGAGGGGATGGTGGCGAGGAGGATAACGAGGGCTCGACGATCAGCAACGCGCCACGCAGCGATATCAGTGGTGTAGGTGGTGAGGCGGGTAGTGTAAGTGGCGAACTGGGCTTGGTATTCACGGTGGCGGGCAGCAGCACTGTCGTAGATGCGCTTGTCGTCGTCGTAGCGCAGTTGGCGGCGAAGGTGGTCGTTGAGTGAGGTGCGATAGGCACGAATGGCAGACTCCACGCTTTGTGGGTTGTGAACATCCGGCGCGAAGGAGGGGGGATCACCAGGAGGCTCGGGCTCGGGTCCGGGCTCATCGGGAGCAGGTCCAGTGGGGGCGGAAGGGGCGATGGGCTGGAGTCCACCCTCCTCCTGGAACACGACGGAGCGAAGGGTATATCCGCTGACGATGACCGAGGAGAGCAACACCTCGACGGAGTGAGCATAGGAGTGCCAGTTGGCGGCCGAGTTGTCGCCCAGCAGCTCGAGAGCGTCAATGGTCGCTAGATCGACCGATGAGTCCGACGACGCCATGACGGCGGAGGGGTGAAGGCGCCGCTGCTGATGCCGCTGCTGCCGGTGCTGGTGCCGCTGCTGCTGCCGCTACCGGTGCCGCTGCTGCTGCCGCTGCTGCTGCCGCCGCCGATGCCGCCGCTGCTGCCGCCGCCGATGCCGCTGCTGCTGCCGCCGCCGATGCTGCTGCTGCTGCCGCCGCCGATGCTGCTGCTGCTGCCGCCGCTGCTGCCGCCGCTGCTGCCGCTGCCGGTGTTGCTGCTGGAGCCGCCACTGGAGCCGCTGCTGCTGCCGCTGCTGCTGCCGCCGTCGATGCCGGTGCTGGTGCCGCCGCTGCTGCTGCTGCCGGTGCCGCTGCTGGTGCCGCCGCTGCTGCTGCTACTGGTGTCGTTATGGGTGGAGTAGGGGGAGGAGGTAGGGGGGGGAAGAGAGGCTGGTGCGGAAGTGTGGGGAGGGGCGCGGGTGTGGGGCAGGATAGGGGGAGGAGGGAGGATTAGGGTTGCGGGGTCGTGGAGGTCGCGGGCAGCCGAACGCGACGGCGCGCAGGTCAGCCGCGGCTCCGCGCCAGCCGTCTGCGTCGGCGCAGGGTCGTCGGCGGCCGCGCGCTGGCCGTCCGCGTCGGCGCGCGGTTCGTTCGTGGCCGCGCGCTGGCCGTCCGCGTCAGCGCGCGGCTCGTCGGCGGTCGCGCGCTGGCCGTCCGCGTCAGCGCGTGGGTCGTCGGCGGTCACTCGCTGGCCGGCCGCGTCGGCGCGCAGGTCGCTGGCGACAGCGCGCTGACCATCCGCGGCGGCGCGTAGGTCGTCCGCGGCGGCGCACAGGTCGTCCGCGTCGGCGCGCTGGTCGGCCGCGTCGCCGCGCAGGTCGTCCGCGTCGCCGCGCTGGTCGTCCGCGCCGGCGCGCAGGTCGGTCGCGTCGGCGGGCAGGTTGAGGCGTGGCGACGGGGGGGAGGGTTGCTGCCACGGGGGAGCGGTTTGAGGCCGCGTAAGGACGGTTTGAGACTGTGAGAGGGAGAATTGAGGCCGCGGGAGGGAGGATTGAGGCCGCGGGAGGGAGGATAGAGGCCGCGGGAGGGAGGATTGAGGCCGCGGAGGAGGATATCTAGGCCGCGGAAGGCTAGATCTGAGGTGCGGGTGGACCGATGTAGGCCATAGTCCGCTAGGGTAAAGGAGCGGAGAGTAAATTGCAGTCTAAGGATCGAGGGAAGGTGGCGTGAGCCATTTGGCTCTGAATACCATGTTAGAATTTAAGAAAATGATTGAGTAATGAGCCAAGGAGGCTCTATAGTACAAGCATGCAAGGAAGAGAGGAGTGGAGGAGGAGCTAACCCTATTGGCCACTAAGTTGGCCAATGGGTGAGGTGCCTTGTGGAGTAGGAAACCTCACAATGTAGATAGGATGTGATTGGTTGGTGTTAGGACCAAAAGTTGGCAAGTGCCAACCAAGGACCAAGACCAAATCCAATCTTGACCAACCACAAAGTGTGGTTGGAGTGTACACCCAACCCCCCAAGAACATAAGGGACTACACCTATTCTAGCCTATGAATGTTGTATATAATGTACATTTACAACATCTGTTGCTCATGGACGTCGCATGTGAGCTCTGGCACACGATGGCATGGGTGGGCATGCATGCATGTGCGTGTGTGAGGGGTACAGCCCATGGGAGGGGAACCTCATGTCATCATGGCATCCATCTTTTGGTCCATTCCACTGTTGGCGCCTTGTGAACATGCCATGCATGCAGGGTCTGCGGGACTCGGCTCTGGATCTCATCCTGCCCCTCGTCGCCGTGCATGCTGAGGTGAGCCCATCTTCCCATCACCCTCTGCCGCCCCCCGTCAATGCCTTGCTACCTCCTCCTCTCTCCCACCACTCCCCACCACACGCCGTGCCCCTCGCGCTCCACCCTTTTCCTGCCTCAACCCCCACCCTCTCCTTCCTGCGAGTCTCACGTGCATCACTAGCTTCTAGCTTCTGCCTTCCACAAAACGCTCTCTATTCGTATTACCCAAGCAGCCCCGTACGCCCTTTCATTATCCCTTCCCTCTCCACTCACCCCATCACCCCTCACACTTGTGTGCCTGTGCGAGCAGGGATGAGCAGGGTGCAGCCCATTTGTGGACCGCGCCATCAACACATTAGCATAGGAATTAATGGGCGCGCTGCACCAGGTGGCCTTCCAGCACGCAGTGACTTCTGCGTTCACTCACATGTTACTCCTGTCTGTGCGAGCAGGTATCAGCGGGATGCAGCCCATTCGTGGACCGGGCAATCAACACGCTAGCAGAGGGGCTAATGGACGCGCTGCACCAGGTGGCCTTCCAGCACGCCGACCTGGAACAGCTCGACGCCAACGCCTTCTGCCAGCTCTCCCTCGAGGTCCGTCTCTGCCTCTGCCGCTGTCTCTGCCTCTGCCTGCCAGGTATCAGCAGGGTGCAGCCCATGTGTGGACCAGGCCATCAACACGCTAGCAGTGGGGCTAATGGACGCGTTGCACCAGGAGGCCTTCCACCACGCCCACCTGCAGCGCCTCGACGCCAATGCCTTGTGCCAGCTCTCCCTCGAGGTCCGCCCTTGCTGCTGCCTGCGCTCATACCGTCGCTGCACTTCTGCAGACCTCTGTTTCGAGAGCACCTGTCTCACATCCACCACTGCCACTGTAACCCCTGTGTCCTAGTGCATCCTTCTGTTGTGTAACCTCTATCCCGCCTCTCCATCTGATCCCTTCCATCTCCTCCCCTCCACCCTTCCTTCAGCTGGATTTACTTTCAGGTGGTGCTGCAGCCATTTGCGTCGCCCTCATTGGACGAAATCAGCTTCAGCTTCTCTCTTCCATCCCCACTTCCTCCTCTTTGCCCCCCCCCCCTCCCTGTATCTCTCTCTCCTTCCATCTCCCCCACCCACTGTCCTCCCTGTGCAGCTGGACTACTTCCAAGCGGTGCTACAACCGTTCGCCTCGCCCTCACTGGACGACATAATATTCCAGCTGCGCGACATGCTGCTGCACCGCACCATGCAATCCATCGCTGCCGCCGGCCCGCCGCCCGACGACCGCCCCAGCTACGAGCGCCAGCTGTCGCGGGGCGGCGGGATGCGGTCGGGGGAGTGGGGCGAGGAGAGGGACATCCCCACGCCGCAGACACCCGAGCAGCTCAAGGTTAGCCCGAGCAGCTCAAGGTTAGCCCGAGCAGCTCAAGGTTAGCCCGAGCAGCTCAAGGTTAGCCCGAGCAGCTCAAGGTTAGCCCGAGCAGCTCAAGGTTAGCCCGAGCAGCTCAAGGTTAGCCCGAGCAGCTCAAGGTTAGCCCGAGCAGCTCAAGGTTAACCCGAGCAGCTCAAGGTTAGCCCGAGCAGCTCAAGGTTAGCCCGAGCAGCTCAAGGTTAGCCCGAGCAGCTCAAGGTTAGCCCGAGCAGCTCAAGGTTAGCCCGAGCAGCTCAAGGTTAGCCCGAGCAGCTCAAGGTTAGCCCGAGCAGCTCAAGGTTAACCCGAGCAGCTCAAGGTTAGCCCGAGCAGCTCAAGGTTAGCCCGAGCAGCTCAAGGTTAACCCGAGCAGCTCAAGGTTAGCCCGAGCAGCTCAAGGTTAGCCCGAGCAGCTCAAGGTTAGCCCGAGCAGCTCAAGGTTAGTCGTCTTATCACAGAAATGTGAACCTTTATGCTCTCCTGCTGCCAAACTAAAATGCCTACGTCAAAGTATAGTTGTCCAATTTGATCCTTGCTTCCCTCTCTTCCTTTCTCCCTCTCGTCCTCCCCTAACCCTCCCTGTTCTTGCCACCAGGGCATAGCGGACAGCCTGTCAGCGGATCTGCTGCCAGGGGAGCTGAGGCGCACGCGGGTGAACGTGTTCTGCTTCGGCCTGCGCCTGCCCGACGACTCCCTGCATGCCTCCCCCTCGGGCGCGTACGACAATGCCTCCACCATCCACGGCGCGCAGTCCACCATCTCCTCCTCCTCCGGCTCCAGTGCCAACCGCGCCTACTCCGCCATTCTCCCCGTGCCTGATACTTCTGCTGGCCTTGCTGCCAGGGCTAGAGCTGCTGGTGCTGCATCTTCTGCTGCTGCGGCGGCCGCTGTTGGGGATGGGTACCGGCCGGGAGCAGCGGCTGGTGGTGCTGCTGGGGTGGGGCCGGCGGTTGGGGGGACGCCGAGGACAGCTGGGCTGAGAGGGTCGTATGAAGGGGCGGGGTATGGGGGAGGAGCAGGGGGAGGGAGAGGGGTGTATGGAGCAGCAGCAGGAGGAGTTGCAGGAGCAGTGGGGGCAGGGATGTATGGGGGAGCAGCAGGCGGGGCAGCAGGGGCATATGGGGGCGGAGCAGGGGGAGCAGGTGGGGCATATGGGGGGGCGGGAGGGGCAGGGGCAGCAGCACCATATGGGGGAGCAGCAGTGCCTGGGTCTGCTGCGAGGGCCCTGGACAGGAGAGGGCAGCCGGGGACACGCGGTTATGGTGGCGGTTACTGAGACTGTTTGAGGGGTACGTACGAAGGGTTGTGCCTTAAGCTGTTTTGGTGCTCTGTCCAGTGATGACTAGGTTTCTACAAATTGTTTAGTGTGTGTTTTTTAGTACAGTTTATCCAAGCGTAGGGGCTGTTCAAGAAGGCTTCTTAATGTGCAGCTTATGCGAAGACAGAAAGCACAGTAGCATGGTGTAAGGAATTTTCTCAACATTCCTTAGCGCAGCCTGCAACATCGCGTACAGCAGCGGCCGTTGTTCGCCTGTTACTGCTAACGGGACTTCGCCGACTATGCGCGCACTGTTTTCACCATACCATGCACCGCTGGCCCAGCCGTGTTGGCCTACGCTTCGGGACTAGCCCGAGCCTCGATGCCAGCCTAGCACTAGCTAGCTAGCACGCACCACGTTACCGTTTGCATATTTCACGTATGAATGTTCGCTCATGCCTTCGCTCACATTTGTACTCGTTTGACACTTGGTGCAATCCTTGCTACACCAAGTCCTCGCCAACTTCACTAGGGCCTATTTACCCACCTGTATATTCGTTTTTTAATTACCCTAATTTGAGGGCTGCTTTAGCCAGCTTGGTTTTAAGGAAATCAATGACTGGGACTGCGCACATGAATCAGCCAAAAAAACAGAAACAAAAAAAACGTGGTCGCAGCGGAAGATTCAGTTTTTGCGTTGCGGTCTCAACGTCAGGCGAGGCAACATCGAAACTTTACAATGCCTCGGATGGTCTCTAGTTCGTGGGCGTCTGATCCCTTTAGCCAAAAAATGTCAGTTTGGTTTTAAGGAAGAACTAACGGGGCGTTCAATTGGCGAGGACTGTCTTTTTGGTGTCATGGACAAAGCAGTTCTCGGTGTTATCTGTGCCTTGTCGGTTGCCAGAGCACAATGAAATTGGCGGGAAATCCAATGTCTCGAGGTCAGAACATTCGCGAATCGCGACCCGTTTGCTGCCCTCGGCGTGGGCCCGCGTAGCTCACCTCCCCAGCACTGAGGACTGGACGCGGCTAGCAGATTCCAAATGGCTAATCAGTCACTGCTTTTTTCTGCCTTTTCTGTTTTTTTCGCCGTTTGGCCTGCGGGTGTCTGAGAGTCAATAACAGCGGGACATGGCTTGCAGTGGCCAACACCACCATTTCATTGCACTTCGTTATCAGCGACTTCCACTTTCATCTAACAGTGCACCGTGTTCTCCGTGTTGCTCCCCAGAAATCAAGCACCAATTATGGGGTTCACGCACTTATAGTTTAGGACGGACGAGAGAGGGACGAATAGGAAGCCAAGTGTAGCACAGAATCTGTGGGTTTGAGCTTTGAGTTAAACGTGTCAGAACAAGGCTAACGTCGTAATTGTGTCTGTTTTTCGTGTAACCTTACCTGTATTGAATACTTTGTTTTTCTTCTTTCATCCAGACACGTGAAGCATCATGTCCTCGCATACTGAGACCTTCTCTACCTTATCGAGCCGATCACTATCAATACGGAGCAGACTAGAAACAGGTCATGCGCTTTCCACTCCCGACAACACTAGATGGCGAAATTCTCGCCGTAACCAGCAAAATTTCCCTGTTCAATTAATAGAAACAATTTGCAAAGAGCCGTTTCAGAGCAGAAACGATCGTGACAGAAGGCGTCAGCTGCGTTCCGTCCCACGGCGCGGTATCTTGCGATATCTTCTCGTCGCGTCCTCCCTCCTCCTCCTCCTCGCCTCGCCCCGCACCAGTGGCTCCAGACTAACACCGCGTTGCTCGGCTTGCGAGTCCGCGCGTCCTAGGGGCCTCCACGCCGCCATGTTCGCCGCAACATCCGGCAGCATCCTCGCATGGTCGCCCGCGCCGGCCCCACGAGAGAGCGATAGGCACGAGCACTCACGTCATACGCCAGGCGGAAGGAGCGTCGAATGGAAAGCTCTCCAAGCGAGGGCGCTTCAGGCGCTAGAGGCCGCGGAGATTAGGAAGGCCAAGGCTGCGGAGAAGCGCAAGAAAGCGGAAGCCGTGGCGAAGCGCAAAGCGGCGAGGGCCGCCGCGAAGCGCGAGAGAGCGGAAGCTGCAGCGAAGCGTAAAACGGCGAGGGCTGTTGTGAAAGCCAAAGCAGTTAATGCAGCTGTGAAGGGCAAAAAGGCGAAGGCACCTGGAGTGCTGAACTGCGTCTTGCCGAATCAGGTAACCCTGGGCTCGTGGTTATCTGTGGGGCGTGAGGCAGTAGGGATGTGGGGCGGTGGGGGCTCAGGCGGTGGGAGTGTGGGTCGGTGGGGGCGTGAAGTGGTGGCTGCGATGAGGGCGAGGGTGTGAATCAGTGGGGAATAGCGCGAGGCAGTGCGGGGTGCGTGAGGTTGTGACGTGTTGGAAGGCAATCTGCTCGAATCAGAGAGCCCCGCCTGGCGGGTATGGCGGAGATTGGAGGGCAGTGCGGGGTGACCGCAGGGCAGCGTGGGGAGATCTTGAAGGCAGCGCGTCGACTGGGCTGGAACTGCCTAGCTTGAGAAGCGGGCTTCAGTTTCGCATGTGCGCTCGAGGCCAGAGAGAGAGGAGGGCGGGGGGTGTGGTGGCGGGAGGCGGGGCGGGGTGGGGGCTATTGAATGGAAGCGAGGATAAGGGGGATCTGCTAGGTGTTGAAAGACGTTGCTGTATCCGCATCCCGATCCATGCGTGCTCTCAAACCAACCTCCTCGTTCTCTGTGCCTTGCTCCGTCCATCACACGCGCGCGTCATGCTGCTCCATGCCGCTGTGCTGCCATGCCACCATGCCACCATGCCACCATGCCACCATGCCGCCATGCCACCATGCCACCATGCCGCCATGCCGCCATGTCACCATGCCACCATGCCGCCATGCCGCCATGCCGCCATACCACCATACCCCCGTGCCGCCATGGCAGGAGTGCGACTTCGCGTTCAACGGCTCGCTGGCCCTCGTGCCATTCTACCTGCTGCTCACCATGCGCCCCTCGCAGCCCTTCTCCGACTCGCTGCTGTTCTACAAGTATGTCTCTTCTTCCACTACCATGTGTCTTCCAATAAGCTTCTTCGTCGCTCCCACCCTCCTTTGCCTCGTAAGCGCATCACATTTCGCTCCCAGTGGCCTCAATTCGCTTCCCCTCTCGTTTTCCCCGCCTTCACCCCCGCTCATTTCATCCCGCCTCCACCTCCCAATGCTGGTGCTGGTGCTGCTTGGCAGCGCGTCAACGAGGACAACAGCACCGGTCATAGGCGGCACGCTCAAGCACAAGTGCAGGACAGTACGAGTACGCCTCTTCCTTGGAACACCTCCTTGCTCGGTTCACAGCTCTGCGTCTCCTTTGATCGTCACCACCGCTTCGCCTTGCTGTTTCCTGCCCCTCTCACCCCCCTCGCTCACTCTCGCCCTCCTTGTCTCCGCCCCGTCGTCCCCCATCCCCGCTCTCTCCTTCCCTCCCTCCTCCCTTCTGCCTGCTCTCGTCTTCTCCCCCTCTTCCCCTCACGCCCTAGTCATCGTATTCCATGCCTTTTATTCCCTAGTTCTGCGCTTCCTTCTCCATTCTGCGTAGCACGGAGCATTGCAAGCTAACCACTCCTGGTTGCACGGCCCCACGACTCCACCCCATGGCAGCAGCGGGAGCGCGGGCACTCGTGTCCGCCGTTTGACATGGTCAACAGCGCCGGCATGAAGCTCGTCGTGCGAGGCTCGTCCCCCAAGAGGGTATGCCGAAATCTGAGTGCTTCCCAACCCGTTCCTACTCTTATTGTGTTCTCTCCCGCACCTCGCAATCTGTCCTTGAGAGCAGTACAGCTGTTTCTATCTCTTACCAATCATGTCCGCCGTTGTTCCAGCCGCTTTCCGTAGCAATACCCGGCCAGCATCAATGTTTTTCTCATGTCATGTGCCGGCCTGCTGATGAAGCTGTGTGAACCGCCGCGGCTCTTGTCGTGTGTGGCGTGGCGTGTGTGGGCAGCAACAGTACTCGGGCACGTGCTTCATAGTGGAGTTTGAGTCGCTGCTCATCAAGATGGGGCTGGGCCGCAACAACATCGCCAAGCTCACCACCCGCGACGACAACCCGCAGTTCCCAGAGGTGCGTGCGCCCCTGGTTTCTCTACCTGCCACGTGGCGCCTCTACCTGCCCCTCTACCTGCCACGTGGCCCCCCTACCTGCCCCTCTACCTGCCACGTGGCCCCTCTACCTGCCTTGTTGATTTATTATCTGCCATGCCGAGTCACCATCTAACATGACCTGCCAGTGGTATTTGTCGTCATGGCAGCGTGTGCGGTTCAATTGACAGGCATGGTGTGTTCGTGTGCATCTTACATGTGCTCTATGCTTGCGCGCTGCAGAATCGCAGGTGTGCAGTCTTCCGGGTGGTGTGAGCGTTGTGGAGTGTCTTACGGGGGTCTCATTTCTTCGCGTGTGAGACTCCATGTCTTGTTGTACATGCTTCTTTGGAATCAATTCTGCCATGGAGGTGCTACCTCTAGGCTGCTGCTCAGCCAGTGTTGTACAGATCTTGCTGCAATGGAAAATCTCTTATTTCAAGGGAATGGAGAACTGTGTTGAGTGGTAGGGGAAGAACTGAGGCCAATAACAAGCCGGTGGGCCGGTGGGAAAGGCCGTAATGGCGAATGGCACAGTTGATTCACTGTGGCCCTTTCCGTCTCACTTGCTTCTGCAGTGAGGGTGCAGGCCTTGTTTTTAGTGACCTGTTTACAAAGCCTGCAAAAGAACTGCAGGTGAGCGACTTGCGGGTGCACGCGCAGGGAGTGCAGGTGGTGTGACAGCTCCCCCACCACCCAGTGCTGCTCTGTAACACTCCTAGTCTTGTCAAACCAACTCTCCTGCTGCATCTCCAGTGCAATCTGCTGGTATCCTTACGTTACACATGCTCCTGTGCGGGTCGGAGGCGCATGCAGTGCAGGTGGTGAGACAGCTCCCCCACCACCCAGTACTTCTCCGCGTCACTCAGGGTTGTGCCAAACCTGTAATCCTGCTGCTGCTCCACAAACACACACACCAGATTTGGCGG